CTAAAAGAAGCTTGATGCTGCCCTGGCCGCTGACAACGACTTGAGAGACAAGCTTGACAAGGCGCTTAATAAGTGGCGCGCAAAACAGCAAGAGAATAGAGGGAGTATTGCCATAGACAACGGCAACCGTCCTACTAGACATACAGCTAACACTGTACAATATATGAATTACAATTAAGAGCTACATACTTAGAACAACAAGCAAGTTAACACAAAAGCTTGCAACAATATAAAAAAGAAAGACAACCTCTACACAGCAGTGAGCATAGAAGAGGATATTGGCAAGCTTAGCAACTAATGGATCCTTGACCCTGGCTCTAACACTCATGTAATTAACACTAAGAACTAGAAGGGATGGACAAGAGAGTACGACGCAGCTACTACTGACTTTGTTGGAGCTAGAACAGGACGTGTTCAGATAACAGCCTAGGGAAGCATGGAGCTTATGGCAAATACACCAACAGGTGTACAACCACTGAAGCTCACTCACGTTGCTTACGTCCAAGGCTTTGTCACAAGCCTAATTGGCTTGGCGCGCTGCAGGAAGCTTAATATACACTTTAATTCAGGACGTGATCTCCTGTACAAGGGCAATCCAGGATCAGTTCTTGCCTACTTGGAGCACGATGGAGGGCACTGGCTGGTGGACGCTGATGCCTCACGTTGTCTAAGCCAGACTTTGCTATTGTCTTTTAGCACAACCTACTAACCTTTAAAGGCTCTACGCCTTAATTAAATAGTTAATGCTAGGACAGCCTATTAGATGTAGGGTTATCCTAGCAAGAAAGTAATTAAAAAGCTTACCTTAAACATTAATAGACTTGTTATAGAAGGTAATAATAATAAATTCTGTACTGTCTGTACAGAGTTAAAGTTAACAAAGCAGATATCTTAAAGATAATAGGAAGACTAAGCTTAGAGGCCCTTCTATTAAATCTCTATTAATATTATCTAATTAATACCTTAAGGAGAAGCCTGCTTAAACAGTAATTAATAGGCTAGACACTCTATTAATTAATACTTAAAATAGCATAAAGTGTTAACCTTCCTACAGTAATTAAAACTGTTCCTAAGTTAATAGTTAGTTCAAGACGTACGCAGTATATAGTAAGTGTTTAACTGCAACGTAATAGCTGTTAAGACAGACAATAACTGTAGATATAGCACATCACTAAACTTCCTACAGGAACTCTGCAAAGACCTTGGTATTTGATATGAGCCACGAGCAGAGTACACAGAAGAACAGAACGGACTGGCAGAGCGAGCAGGATCGCTGCTTGTCATCCGAGCTAGAGCCATGAGGATTTAGGCAGGACTGCCAAAGTCACTGTCTCACGAGCTGATTTGAACAGCAGCATATGTGCTGAATTGTACGCCAATAGAAGCACTACAATAGAAAACGCTATACAAAATAGTTTAGAAAACAAAGCTAAAGGTTTAACACATGCAACTAATAGGCTGTTAGGCGTACGTCCTTAATTAATTGCTTAAACGCGCAGACAAGCTTGAATTAAGAGCACTTATAGGCCACCTTGTTAGCTACAACTTGACCAACATCTTTAGGATCTAGCTTCCTACTAAGGACTAGGTTATACGCACACAAGATATTGTCTTTAAACCTACAAAGTTCTACAAAGGACTATAAGGATACGCTTACAAATTAGTAATTGTAGAAGTTGTTAAGCTTCTAGCATTTCCTAAGGAGCTTAAGCCTAATAATATAGTAATAGAAGATCTTTTAATGACTTAACAACGCTGTTAACAGCAGCCTGCTCACACATCTGCGCTCACAGAGCCTTAGATAGGGGGTGAAGTAATAGAACAGAATAAGGAGCAGAACAACAGAGGATTGCTAACTCTAGAAACTTTAATCTACAATTAACAAGATAGATAAACTAATTCTCTGTCCTTAGAATTAGAACAAGAGTAATATACTCTAGATAAGCAATTAGCTCACGAACAGCAACTACACAAATTGCGAAATAAAGACCTTTCTACAACCTAGCTTAAAGGCTATATACCTAATTAATATAAGAATAACGCTCTAAGACGTTGAAACCTTGATCTTAGCACAGACAACGTTATCAAAGGCCCGCGGCGTACAAGACGAAATGCTGATCTCCAGGCACTAGAGCGATGGCACTCTCACGCTGTCTTATACAGAGCATTAGTTAACAACTACCTTAAGGCTTTCTTAACTACCTTAAAGGTTAAGCTAACTACAAAAATATATTGTTTGCAAGTGCCAAGAGCTCTGCGATTATATTCAGAGCTTAAATCTTATCTGTTTAGAGAGCAGTTTTAACAGGCTATGCAGAAAGAGTACCGCGAGATCTGGGGCAAAGGCTGCTTTGCTAAGACAACACAAACAGCAGAGACTGCTGATGCAGAGGTGCTACCCCTAATATAGGTATTCACATACAAGTTTAATAAGGACAGTTACCTCTATTAATTTAAGGCACAACTTGTCGTCTGTGGCAACCTACAACAGCTATACAGAGACACCTACGCTGCTACACTAGCTGCTCGAACATTTCAAGCACTTATCGCAATAGCTAATTAATTTGGATTAGAGCTACTTCAGTACGACGTACTGAACGCGTTTCTTAACGCTACACTTAATTGAAAGCTCTACGCTCAGACACCCAATGGGTTCAAGAGAGATAGAGAGCTTCTACAGGTACTGAGAGCCCTGTACGGACTGAAGGAATCACCACTGCTATGGTACAAGGACCTGAGAGAGACGCTAAAGTCTCTGGGCATGACGCCTATACCAGGGTTTCCATGCGTCTACGTTAACAGCTAGTTAATTATGTTTGTCTACGTTAACAATATTGTTATAGCTTTCTACCTATTAAACTAACATCTACACTAAGAGTTTAAGAAGAAGCTTAATAAGTATTATAGACTAAAATACCTTAGAGAACTTAAGTAGTTCCTAGGCATACATATTGTTCAAGATCTTAGCGCACACACAATTTACTTAGTTTAGGACGCTTATATTAACAAGGTTACTGCTAAGTACAATATTATCTCTACTAGCTGCCCTTTAGAGGTGCCTATGCTAGTAAATTACCTAGAACAATCTCTTAAGGAACTAAACAAAGCTTGGAAGAAGACCTATCAAGAGCTTGTAGGCTACCTTGCCTACCTCACGCAGTATACCCGACCTGATCTGGCTCGCGCTCACGTTATCCACGCTTCACATTTGACTAACCCTGGCCAAGCACACGTCGAATCTATTCGAAGGGTGTGGCGTCACATTCTAGAGACAAAGTATCGAGCCCTGCAGGCTCAAGCCACTGACGAGGCAGAGATACAAGAGCACCTCACTTCGCCACAGGACTATCGCGATCCTATCTTCTTTAGAGCATCTGATGCCTCCTTTGCTGACGACGTTGAGACGCGCCGAAGCTCTCAAGGATACGTATTTTAGCTGTTTAGCATGACTGTTGACTAGAAGTTAACACTTTAACGCACTGTCACAAAATTAACAACAGAAGCAGAGCTGCTTGCTCTCTCACTTGCTAGATCAGAGATAGAGGAGTGGTGCCGCTTGTTCAAAGGACTGTCTTTAAAGCTTAACCAGACGCCTATTATTTGGTGTGACAACTAACAGACTGTGGGCATAGTTACAAAGGAGCAGGACAAGCTTAGTACTAAGCTTAAACACGTTAATATTTATTAGAACTAGATCTGCTAGGAGGTTAAGCAGAATTAACTCTACATCCACTGGAGGCCTACAAGCTAGATGCCTGCTAACAGCATAACGAAGATTCTTCCTTGTCAGAAGCACATTAAATTTATACAGCAACTACAGCTTATAGACATTCGCTTAAAGGTTTGTAAGATAGAGAACAATAGCTAAGGGGTTCATCCTTCTATTGCAAAGTAACTATAGGATAAGGGGGTGTGTAACAGTTAAGAGGAGAAGCGGATCACGTGTTGTTAGCAGTGGTCTGGTGTTACTTCCTCATGTTGTTGTGCACCTCTTACCTTGGCTGCGTTACAAAGACGTCATCAAAACAAACCCCGCAGCGAGCCTTGGAGAACATAGACAGACACAACAAGAACAACACAGAACAGAACACAATACACTCATCATATACATTTGCTCTTGATACCGCAACAGGCTTAGTAGGGTCTTGGCAAAAGTGTCCGACTCGCCCGTGTGTCCGACTCGCCCGTGGGGTACGTTATTACTTTCTAGAAGCAAAAAGTAAGGGACGTTGTTGATGAAGTGTAGGTTTCGTGCGCAGACAGCTACAAGAGCCAAACAATGGCAAAAACATACAACAGCGGGTATTCGCTAGTGGTCACCCACCTAACTACTAATCCGCCGGTACGTTGCTTAAATAGGGCTGAGCGAACGGGAAGCCTTGTTTTCAACGTCCTATGGTCGTATGTGGAAATCATAGCTGTTATTAATAATAATAACTTTGTAGAGCTAGGCAGCATTACTAGAAGATTAGGGCCGCAGACCCATCATCGCCTTTAGGATACATTAACTTACTTGAATTCTTTTTTTGTAAGTTAAGGGGTAAAAAGCCTTTGGAAAACTCAAATTTGAATTCTGCCCACTTACTCTAATTGGCCCCCGTAGTAGGTGCGGCTCCGTGGCCTCCATGATTCACCTTTGTGACGTCATGCGCAGGAACAGACTCACCAAATTTCATGTTGACACGCCACGTGCGCGAGCACCAGATCTTACGATGAGCTGTGTTGTTGCTTACCTGTATGTTCACGGATCTCCTCACGGTTGTGCAGGTCAGCCGCACGCATGCACCAATCTCGTCCACAAATGTCGTGAGCCGACCCTACAGCTGCTTGCCAGCCCTCTCACTCACAAAAATGATGTAAGTCACCAGTCTGTGCTGCTAAATATAGAGCAGCGTTGCATTGGTCTCTCGTAAATCAGGTTGTGGCTTCCAGCCTAACAAGTTGTAAAGCCGTAAGCGTCTTTGTAGCGTCGCACTACAGTGTACCGCCAGCCTCCGTCTGGCACCACAGCGTCATCTACCTTCGTGTCGAGGGGGGCCAATTATCAACTCAGCGGTTTGCTTTAGGGCTCAGTCGCCACGCTGTACTCATCTGTCTCAGGCAACCTCAAATATGCGACGAAGACCTCGGTTTGAATTCGATACTATTCAAACCACTCACATACAGAATGAAGTTTACTCAACCATGGGGAACTCTGCTCTCAACTGCGCTGATTGTTAGCGCTGCTCCCATTGCTGAAAATTGCACTTCCGCGGCTGACTACGATGTCATCATCGTGGGATCAGGACCAGCTGGTCTCATTGTTGCCGACCGCATGAGCGAGGCTGGCAAGAAGACTCTTCTACTCGAGCAGGGTGGGCCTTCGTACTACATCACCGGTGGACGTGAGCGTCCCGGCTGGTTGAACGGCACCGAGCTCAGCCGTGTCGATGTTCCTGGTCTTTACAAGGTATGTTTGCTGTCCACATATATTTTAAATTGAAATTAACACGAACAGTCCATCTTCTCGGTCACTGGCAACCTGACATGTGCATCAGACGTTGTCAACGCCTTCCAGGGCTGCACAGTTGGTGGCAACACTGCCATCAACGCTGGTCTCTTCTTCCAGCCCCCAGCTTCCGATTGGGATCTCTACTTCCCTGCTGGGTGGAAAAACCCTGACATGCAGAGCGCCATTGCAAAGGTCCACGCTAAGCAGCCTTCCACTGACCTGCCGTCAGCTGATGGCAAGCGCTACGTCCAGAGTGGTTACGAGGCTGCCAGGGAGTGGCTCGTTGAGGGTGCTGGCTATGCTGAGGTCGGCTTGAACGATGGTTGGGAGAACCACCACAAGACCAAGGTCTTTGGCCACCCCATCTACAATTACGAGGGCGGTCAACGGAGCGGTCCCGTCAAGACTTACCTCCAGTCTGCGCTCACGCGCTCGAACTTCCACTTCCAGACCGGAACCAAGGTCGTCCGCGTTATCCGTGACGGTCAGACAGCGACTGGCGTTGAGATCCAGCTCAAGGGTTCAAATACCACATCGATCGTTGGAGTCTCTAAGAGCGGCCGTGTGGTCCTCTCTGGCGGTGCTCTTTTCAGCCCTCAGCTCCTGATGTGGTCGGGCATTGGCGAGCCCGCTTCTCTTGGCAACCTCTCCGCATCTGGTCAGCTCACTCTCTCCGCCAGGCAATGGATCAACAACAGTGCCGTTGGCGACAAGGTCTTTGATAACCCGAACTCCTTCATCGAGCTCTTCTCCGACTCCATCTCCTCCTACAACTACAACTACTCCAATCCCATTCCGGCCGACAGGGACCTCTATCTCCAGTCATACTCGGGGCCTTACTCCTTCGCCTCGCAGACTAGCGCTTTCTGGGACTTCATCCAGCAGGGCAATGAGACCGTCGGGTGCCAAGGCACTATCGATTCTTCCGGCTTCGGCAGCTTCATGCAGAACGGCACCATCACTCTGAACGTATACGGAACCTCTGGTCTGCGCTCCTTTGGCCGCGTCGGACTTGACGCCAATGGCATCGCAACACCTTCATCCGGCTTTTTCTACTCCGACAAGCGCGACGCGCAAGCTATTGGCGAGTTCGTGTACAATATCTTCCAGAAGCTGCCCAAGACGCTGCAGCCTTTGAACATCGCCGGAAACTCCACGCTTGAGGAGATCACTACGTGGATCACCACACCGAGTGAATATACGCTAGGTAACGTGCAGCATTGGTCGTCGAGCTGCAGATTCGAGACCTGTGTTGACGCAAATACGAAGGTTATTGGCACGAACAACATCCACGTTGTCGATGCTTCGATCAGCGCGCCTTTGACGACGAACCCGGTTCTGGGTACTATGATCATTGCCGAGCGTGCCGTTGAAAAGATCCTTGCCCTATGATGCGGGGGAATGTGGGTATTGTCATGTAGCGTAGCATAGTTAGCATTAATGGCGTACGGAAAGTCAAAGATACCATAGTAGTATAATTGATAATACTTCATAAACCCGTTTCCTACGGATTCTCTCTCGTGTGTGTTCGGCTTCGCAACTTGCGCAGCGCATAATGAGCAGTTTGGTACAGTGCGATCACAAGCCTGCTTCCGTACTCTGCAGTATACGCATATGTTTAGCGCCTTCTGAGTGGGCAGCCATGGATCTGTAAAATCGTCAATCGTTGCATCAACACGAACACATCGATTAGCATGTGTTGCACTATGTGTTCTAAAGTACCGACAAGTTGCCATGCGGCTGAAAGAGACACTACTGAAACAGGTGCTGGCAGCGTGTCCAACTGGAAGTAGTACTGGGATCTGCGGCAACGGTATACGGCAGTGGGCAGCAGGAAGTAACGGTAATTAAAGTGAGCCGTAGCTGTTAGTTGAGGCATAGTACAGCAGTACTACGTTGAAATTTAGGGTTTATCTTAATATATTGACTTGCCTCTTATGTTAGTATACATATAAAATCTTGTGGCGAAAGCTGTTACATGCAAGAGCTCTATAGTCTTTTGCAAGTTTAAATCCCCTCTATAACGTAATTTTGCTTTTTTCTTATTGTTAAAACTTAGCACTACGTGACAAATACTACCATAGCAGCATAGCTACGTTAAATACGAAAACTACAATAACCTACGCTTACGAACTGTATGGCTACGCGATTACGTAATTGTAGGAAGCTATGGTTGCCTACAATTGCTATAGGTTACGGCAATTAATCTTTGCAGGAGCCGTATGCACTGGGTGCCGGTGGTGGTTGCCAAGGCGCCGCTGGATGGATGCGTCCGAGCATGTCGTACATTATGACATGACACCCAGGATGTTGTACATGTCAGCACTGATGAGGCCGAGGATTGAGAGGCTTCATCGGTCGCAATCCACCTTCCTTCTGCGAGTTCAGTGATCAATGCTGCATCTCTTGAATGGACGAGCAAAATGACAATTTGGGAAAGCTCGAAGATGACACACGGTGGAAGTGATCGAATCGGAAATTAAAGGGCTTCTGCTATGCTGCTGAATGGTTCAAATGCCGGCATAAGCAATATGCTTGTTGAGACGATGGAAAAGGTGAGGCGCTGTCACTTAATCGCTGGAGAATCCGGCCAGGCCCTCGTCGTCAAAGTATTGGTCGTAGTGTCCTGGCTCGAGGTCCTCATCAATGATGATGCTAGCAAGCGCTCTCAATTCCTTTGCCTGCAACACTTTCCCAAGACCAATTGAGAGATGCATGTCCGGCTCATCAAGGGCGTGGTATGTCCAGGTATAGTCGATGTCCTCAAGAGAGTGAGGTTCGTCCTTGGCACCGGCACGACAAGCAACCTTCATCAATTCGACCGCGAATACTGATTCCTCTGCATCCTCCTTTTCAGATTCGAGCCCAGCGGAGTCGCAGCGTACGTGCATGGGCAACCAGATCTGACGTCTGGTAGCATCGGTTGACTCCTCTTTCGCAGGCGAGCGTCGATATGAGGCATTTTTGAGCTTCTGGATGCCAGTGACGAAGTACAATGGCTGGTGCTGCAGGGCAGATTTGCGAAGGAAACTCCGTGCCTCAGTGTCGCGACGGAGTGCCTCGAAGGCGACATATGGGTTGGCCAATGTAGCTATGGACATCTCGTCAGCGGTCAAGACCACGGCGTTGTTGTATGTCGATGCGGTTTTGCCGAGGCTAGAGATGAGGCGCCCTTCTTCATCTCGAGAGATGATGTCTTCGTAGCGTGTTTGAGTCGTAGGCTTGTTATGGGCTGGCGTCACTGTGGGCTTGAAAGATATCGACTCAGTGCTCAGGGGGTCCCTAAGCAGCTGTCCGAGAGCAAAGGAACTCGAAGGGAGCGGTGTTGGAAGGACGAGGATTTGAGACATGGCGTTTGGAGGCTTCTCGGTAAGGCTGTACTGGACAATGCGGAGACGCACTCCTGAGGCACACTTCTTGTATTCAAGCACTTCTCCGGGCTCGGCTACCGTTTCCGAAAATCCAGGGACTGCTATCGCATCGAGCCGAAATGCCTCGAGCGTCGAGCCACCCTCGTGTGACGCCATGCCGTACGCGACCGAAGCGTCAATGTGGAGGCGGGATCGCGTCGAGTTACGTTAGGCCCCGCAAATTACCTGCATGAAAGTGGGTGCAAAGCTATGGTTCGCTCGGCTGCTGTCGGTTGGAACGGTCAAACCTCTGGCCGCTGTTCGCTGTCAAAGGTGTTGCGTACCTGACGATCCCGATTACTCCGGCATCGCCAGAATTTTTGCCGAATCGGTCGAGTGGAGCCCGTACGGATGCACGAGGGCGACCTGTTCATCGTCTCACGGAACTCGGTGAGATGCAAATCTCTCGAGACAAGTCTTTCCAGTGGAAGATAGTCGGACACTACTGTACCGGCAGACTTGACGGTCATTCATTCTTCCACAGTCCAGATGGAGGCCGCGTGACTGTAGGTCTAGACGCTCATCCGCGAGTCGCTCATTTAGGTAGTGATCCATGTGCATGCACTCTGAAATTCTGAATGTCTTCTTGGATTAGCAACACGCTATTACCTAGCTGTAATTTGCGATTGCGCAGGACATTTGATCTACGGGCGATATATTTCATCCGTCTTGTACGGCCACGCATTGGCAACGGCCGGTGAAAATTGCGATTGGGGCTTTCAGGTAAGAGCCGCCCATGGGCATCTTTGTCGCTGCTGCGGTCATCGACGCAGGATGGTTGTGTAGAAAGAGACTGGTGAGTGGTGCAGAAACTGACAGCTTGGCAGTCAGGGAAGTGGCTTCACGTCATGTGGCTGACGGCAGGCGTGTCCGTCTGCCGGCACCGCAAGACTCAAATACGCTTTACGCGCTGCACTTACACTGGCCTGCGTTTGCCGTTATGAATCGCACCTTGCGCAGATGCAGGGACTTGTTTCCTGATGGGTACACGGCCCCTTCTTGATGACCCGCCGGAACCGTGGCTGTCTTTGCGTCCGGCAGTGCGCGGATTGACACTGCCACAGCGGGCGAGGCACGTTCCTTGAACGTGCTGACATCAAAGTCAAAACACCTACTTACCAGCTGTGATTGTGTGACCCTTGCAGGAATGGCGGCCGAGGCCCCTATCAATTCGAGCAAGCACGAGCGTCGCCAAAATGCTCTCGCCGACATCCAATTCGCATCGATACTCGACGATGACGACCTCACGCCAGTCGAGTCCGGGGACGAGACGGAGCAGAAGCTGGAGCTCGAGACGGTCCAGTCCGCGATTGGTGTCAGCATTGGACAACAGCAGACGCGCTTGATCTCGCCGAAAACGCCTGCTGCCGAGAAGGCGGCTGCATTGGAGGATCTCGATGGTGGCGCGCTGTTCGACGGCTGGGAACAACATGCGACTGCGGTCATAGATGCCAGGGCGAGAAATCGCGTACCCTCCCACGGCGAGGTCGATGAGAGCCGTTCTGCAAGAGCTGAGGAGGTCAAGTATGCAGACGAGCCCCTCGAGCGATTGCCCTCGCCGTGGCGCGTGGGGCCCAAGACTTTCCAGGGTCGCATGAGCGACCACCGCACCACGCTACGGCAACACCTCAATAATGGGCGGCGCAGAGCCTCGTCGAGCGGATCAATGGCAGAGGCGGTGCGCAAATACGTGCCCTTCAACCTACCGAAAGCGCCAAAGCACCTGCAGTTCTCGCTGCCAAGCCTCTCGGCCCTGTCACTCGACTACGAGCGCGGGAAGCCAACAACAGGCGCAAGTCCTCGCCCCAGGCAGATAGAAGCAGCGAGCACTGGCAGTATACCTCAGAGCGATGGCAACTCTGAATCGACCTTGGGGCGTCGCAGAAGCTTAAGCTCACCACAACAGGCGAACACGGCACCAATACCCCAAGGCGAGCTCAATGACAGCCTCTCGACCCTTGCGCCGAGGGTGACACCTCGCGCATCGCACGATCGACCTCTACCTAGGTTCCGTAGGTCGAACTCAGAGGGTTCACTGCTGCTTTATCGTTCCAAGTCTATTGCGTCGTCTCTTGGTGACGACTCACGTTTCGAGAGCGTCTCTCAGCAAGTCAACAGCAGATTGAAGGCCATCAAAGACAGCTTCCAAGATTCGAACTTCAAGCTTCCCAGTCCCTCTTTGCCGAGCTTCAACTTCTCATACGGCGATGATGCGATTCGGAGCCGCAATGGCAGCGTACCACCCCGAGGTCGAACCGTCGACGACTACCTCACGCGCAAATCTAGCCTCCGCCCCAGCCCAGCCGCATCATTCCCACGCAACGGCTCATCTGTGTCTCTCAGAGCAATGCGACCCTTCAAAGACGGTGGCTCAGAAGCTGACACCCATCCTAATTTCACAAGAGCTCTGGAGGAGCTGGAAGGCGACCTCGTGATTCTCGGAGGGTATCGTGGCTCTATTCTGCGCTCTGCTGAGCCTCCAAATCGCCAGGTGTGGGTGCCTATCAAGGTTGGCCTGAATCTGCGCAAGGTAGATCTGGAGGTGCCATTCGACGAAGGTGCAGATGAGAGAATGAAGGAGACCATCATTCCCGGTGGCATGTTGACCCACATCGGTCCTGTTGACATTTCCAGACGTCTATTCAAGCGGTTGCGAGCATCTGAGAACTTCAAGAACGGCAAGCTGAGAGTGCACAACTACGGTTATGACTGGCGATTGTCCCCGCACTTACTTGCAAGACAGCTGATTCAGTTCTTGAGATTCCTTGAGTGTAACCAAGCAAACGTTCCGACTGAGAGGAAAGGTGCCATCGTCCTCGCGCATTCACTGGGAGGCCTCATTACTCGCCACGCCATCAATCAACGACCAGACCTTGTCTCAGGCGTGGTATATGCTGGGGTACCACAGAACTGTGTGAACATTCTGGGTCCCTTCCGAAACGGCGACGACGTCTTGCTGTCGTCTCGCGTTCTGACGGCGCAGGTGAACTTTAGCATTCGCACTTCATACGCACTGTTGCCTCTTGACGGCAAATGCTTCATCAACAAGCATACAAAAGAAGAATATCCCGTCGACTTCTTCGACGTCCACACCTGGATCGAAGGCCGCTTGTCGCCGTGCATAGCACCACCATTGCCGCGCCCAGAGGCGCCAAAGGAGAGCAGCTTCAGCGTCAGTGGTGTCTTGAGCGCTATGTCACAAGCTCTGCCAGCGTTCCCCAGTCGGAAGGGTAGTATTTCAAGAGGCAACGGCGAGGCAAGCAACGGTGCAGCAGACGTCGCCCACAATGTCGCGAACAAAGTGGCAGAAGGCAACGCAGAAGCTGCAGGGGGTGGCATGGAGCCTCAAATGGTGGCAGGGCGAAGAATGTCACGTTCGACGTACACAATGAATGACCCGAACCCTGCAACCGCAGTCACCATTTCACGCGACGATGCTATCAAGTACCTCACTCGAGTTCTTGCAGAGACCAAACGCTTCAAGGAAGAGCTTGCCCACGAACCTAGGCACACGGAAGCGAACGCTTACCCACCGATCGCGCTCATGTATGGCAAGTCGACACCAACTGTATATGGTGCCAAAGTCGAGTCTCGCGAGGCGATCGCAAGGGCTGATGTCTACGATGAGCTGGCGTTCGCAAGCGGAGATGGAGTAGTGCTTGCGCGTGCAGCCATGGTGCCCGAAGGATACTCTGTAGTAAGGGGTGGCGTCGTGTCGAGTGATCGCGGGCATGTCACGTTACTGGGCGACCTCGAGGGCGTCGGGCGCTGTCTACATGCCGTGATAAGGGCGCGGCGAGCAGGCATTGGTCTAGGCGGGAAAGAGAAGAAAGCAGCCGACAGCAAGGCGGACGAAGGTCTGGGCATTCAGGTACCGCACATCGCTTCCTGAGTCTATCTGGGGGCGTTTAATACCCATTCGCGGCGAGAAGCGCTAGAGTTGCCAAGCCCGAACCCTGGTGCCCCTGCAGCAGTGACATGTCCACCAAAACATGACAATCAACACCAAATCTTCTCAACATCTTCCACTCGCTTCTAGGTAGCATTGTAAAAATGCTGATGGTCGTACGATGGATCCCGCTCCTTCTAATCGGCCGAAGCCAACCACAATATAAGCCAATGACGTAGCTGACTACCAGCAAGACACAACACCGCCAGACGGTGGATATGGTTGGATGTGCGTAGGCGCATGCTTCACGACCAACTGCTTCACATGGGGCACTGTTTTCTGTGAGTTGCGGGATACTGCCCAGATGACTGCTTTCTGCTGATCCCGCTAGGCCTATGGCATTTATCTTTCGCACTACTTGGCCGATGACCTCTTTCCAGAGGCATCGTCATGTGACTTCGCGTTCATCGGCGGCTTCAAATTCTCTATTGCCATGCTCGTTGCGCCACTTGCCACTGTTCTGGTCCGCAGGTTCGGTACTCACAGAATCATGTTCATCGGGGCGCTCTTTCAGTGTAGTGGATTCATCGCTGCCTCCTTCGCCACCCGGATTTGGCAGCTGCACATGTCCCAGGGGGTTCTAATTGGTGCCGGCATTGGATTCCTCTACATACTGAGTCTGCCGATTTTGTCGTAATGGTTTGTGAAGAAACTTAGTCTGGCAAACGGCATCAGCGCTGCCGGCTTCAGTGTGGGCGGTGTCGCGTTCGCATAGGGATCGCAGGCCATGATCCAGCACACCAATATTGCATGGTCGCTGCGCATCACCGGCACCATCGCCTTCGTCGCTACTCTTGCTGCCATCGCCGTCATCCGAGATCGAAACAACGTCATTCGACCGCCACAGCTTGCGTTCGACAAGCAGTTGTTAAAACGACGCGATGTGCTGCTGTTGCTGGCATGGGCCTTCACGAGTATGTTGGGCTACGTCGTCCTTCTCTTCAGTCTGTCAGACTTCGCGCTATCGATCGGCTTTTCCAGAGCGCAGGCTACGGACTTGATCGGCTTCTTGAACTTGGGGACAGCGATTGGACGGCCGTTTATAGGCATCATCAGCGACAGATGGAATCGCATTGATATCGCAGGTGTATTCACACTAGCATGCCGCCTATCATGCTTCCCATTCTGGCTACCCGCAACGTCTTACGGGATCACAGTGTTATTTGCTATCGTCTGCGGCGCGAGAGTTGAAGTCTTCTGGATGGTAACATCACTGCATATCATCTTGAGCTTTACTGACAGGTGTCTCCAGACTATTGGACCTCTCTGTGTCGAAGTAGCAGGTATCAAAGAGCTGCAGTCTCTTATCACTCTCGTGGGCTACCATCATAATTCCGACGACAGTTTTTAGAAGGCATTGCACTGAAGCTCTGACGGCCTGTCGCATCTCGAGAATATCTCTACACGCAAATTTTCGCCGGGCTCGCTTACGTTGTTGTGAGTGGCTTCATGTGGCAGCTTCGACGGGTCAAGAGCCAAGATGGGAACCAGGGTTCGCGCAACCATGGATGAGTGTGTACGAATTATGGAATCAAGGCTAGAGCCGATAGGTTCTTCAAAAAGCATTCTCTCTGCTCCAGCTATAATTCAATACTGTCTTGTGCGAACTTTCCCGCTGCAATGTCGACCACAAAGCCTATGTCGACCACAAAGCCTATGTCGACCACAAAGCCTTTTCGATTCCCCGACCTTCCACTGGAGCTTCGTCTCGTGGTCTATGACTGCCTGCCTGTTATCACTCAGCATCACACAATACACGACAGATCTCTCAGAGCGGTGAAGATCGTCTCAAAAGGCATTAACGGAGTCCAGGTACTCCTTACTTGTCGAAGTGTCTACATGGAAGCAACCACTTTGCGTCGCCGAATTTACTACCTGAACGCTCAGCCACTGCGTTTGTCAGTAGGCCTCGGTGCCCTCCACGCCGCGCCGATGGAGGCCATACTGTTATACGCCTCCAACTACGATGCTTACGACCACGAAGGGAGGCATACCGCTTGCGGAGAGACTAAATGCATCATATCAATCTGTGGAGTGTTGGAAAGCATTCTGCGCTGTCGTATGCCAGCGTTTACGCGTAGCGTTGAGATAGCAGTCGACTGCGAGGAAGAAAGTACCGAGTCTAGAATCATCGAAGCTCGCATCAGGTTCCTCTGGCTACTATGCTGCAATGAACAGCAAGGGCCGCTGCCCAAAAGACTGCAGATTCTGCTGCGACCGCGACTCTCCTCAGATGTCAGTGCCAGAATTATCGAAAAGTACCAGATCTTTGGGGAAGCTGGGTATGCACATATGTGGGAGTATTCGCAGGGTCAAAGGTTGTGTGATGAAGAATGGCAAGAGCATTGGGAGGAGGGCGAAAAGCTCTAAGACCGACTTCTACACATCGACTACCTCCAAGGCTATGGCCAAGAAAGCCACCTCCGGCATAAAGATCCTCAAGACTGGCTCACCAGGGTTAAACAGATTCACTTAGTGAATGCGTTGAATTCCTCCATGACGGTGCTCGAATGAGAAGCGCTGTAAGTACCCATCGAGCAACATTAGGATATCGGACCTTTACCGCGCACTAAGTAGTAAACACCACCCTCAGATCAACAATTTACACTGCGCAAAGAGTAAACAAGCAGCGATTGCTTGTCGCCTGCGTTCCTGCCCCCGAACGTTCAAACATATTCAACCCTATTTTCACCTACTCATTTCCCTGCCTCCCTCTCGCACTTCGCCCATTATTACTCCAACAGTAGCTCATCCACCTTAGCAAACGTTTCGGAATTTCCCAAAAATCCGTAACATGTCATCCACTGGTCGGCAAGCCTTCCGCTTCCTTAATCTTCACAAAGATGCCCGCCTCATGGTCTACGATGTACTGCCATCCAACAAATGCCGTCGGCTGTACGTTCTGGACTCAAACAATCAAGTTGCTGGAATAACTGTCATCGTGAAGAATTTGCTTGGCTTAGCTATCATCTACACCTGCCGCGATGTATGTGGCGAGGCGACTGTCTTACGTCGTAGACGGGTATTATCTGGATCTATGCCATTACACCTCGATGTCGAAGAGCGCGAAATGAACAAAGATAGCCACTCGTCCTCAATGCATCATTTGAAGATTGTTCTGAGGTTGATACGGAGACTTCGTGACCCGTCAGGATACGATCCTTTGGCATATAGACTGTACCCAGTTGGCGGCAGCCTCCGGTTACGACTTCGCGAACCTTGGTTTGGACCAACGGATGCCTAGAGCTGTGCTTCGGGCAAAGAAATATCTGAGAAAGAGTGGAATGTGTCATGGGGTGATGGGGCAACGCTCTGAGGGAGAGGGAGGCCGAGAACTCATTGATACATCGGCAGATCAAAAAATTATGTTGACTTCGATAGGCCGAGCTACTGGACAAGAGGGTCATGTAGTCACAGGGAAATGCATTGGCTCCAAAATTTACAACAAAGCAGGGAATTTTGTGTCATTATCTCTACCTTGACTACCTCTAGGGCCCTGCATAAGATCAGACCGTGACACCTTCACTACAAGCTGCACTTTGCAATTAAGCACACAATACACTCAAGGACAGGTTGACAGGGTGAACAGTTCTGAGTGAAAGCCCCAGATTGACGCCGTGATGGTCTCAGCAGGTCATCTCAACAAGAGCCGACTGTCATTTCCAGTCAAGATGGCAATTTCTGCGACCCTGTTGACCTCAAGTCTTTTCAGCTACCAAATAGTTTGACATGGTAGTGAATTCTTCGCGGTATTAAATCCTTTCCTCGATAAGTTTCGTGAATGCCTGCATGAATCTACTGTCTTTAACAGGCTTAATTACACCAACGGCCACTTATAGGACATCCATTTCTCCAAAGTGCGATTCCAATTTCCATTTCCCTGCTGGACGTGAACAAACAGATCCATGTACTGCTTCCACGCAATGTCTCGATCGACCATGTAGCCCAGCTCTTCAAACGTGAAGGTCGCATTCGGGTTAACGATGCAAAGCACTCCAGGATGCAACCGAACCTGCAGTTCAACCTCGATGATGTCGCTAATCATGGCATCAACACCGCCATCCATGACAGCCTTGTAGACGGCATTATTGTCCTGCACCAATACAATAGTAGCTGTCTTCAAGTTTGCCCGGTCAAACGCCTCGTTTGTACCACCCGGGTTGACAGCCACTTTGACACCAGCAGTATCGATAGCGGCGAGAGAAGAAAATTTGACAAGATCTGCACATCGCACGCAGGCGGCCTTGCCCACGCGCTGGATCGCAGTAGAGAAGAAGAGCTTCTGCGCACGGGCTAGAGTGATGCTGACACCACTCATGGCAATATCGAACTTTTGTGCTGCGATATCTGCCGAAAGGTTCGCCCAGACAGTGGGAACGAACTCAACTGGGCGTGAGAGGCCAAGGGAATTTGAGAGCGATTGAGCCAAGTCGATGTCGGCCCCAATGTACGTAGTGTTGATGGCCGGAGTAGCAGGGAGAGCTGTCCGGTTTGTCACTCTGTACGAAAACGGCTTATAATCTCCAGTTGTGCCGACTTTCAGGTAGCCGCGTGCCTGGATTTTATCGAGAATCGAGTTGTTGCTGTGCGAGGCTGGGGCCAGATAGCTGCGAAGAATTAGTTTTCTAAGATCGGAAGGTGACCGCGGTAGGTTCTAACTTGGGAGAGTACTGCTGCTCATGCTCATTGTTGCCTCTTGAGGCATTGGCAAGAGCGCTAATAAGCAAGCAAGCTGCGACGAGTACTGAAGTAGGATTTATCATTGTGGGAATATCCAACTTGGGGTGACTTGGTCGAACCTAAGAAGCTCCGGTATACTTGTACCGCCTGCAGACCTCCGCAATCGCTCCTCCTCAACGGGTCCGAAGAAGCCCCGTTCGGCAAGGCCGCAAAGTATCTGATTAATGAGATAACGATCAGTCGCAGAACAAAACACAGTACTAGTAGTGAAGATAACTTTGCCCTCTAAACCATATGTTAAGATGACTGCCTAACTTCGCGCTTTTGAGAATAGTCAAGTAAGCATGCGCCTGCGCCAACGTTGGAAGTAAGTACATATTGCCATCCTATCTCAGGTCAGAGGCCTTGGCTACATGCACGAGCATGCCTGACACCTCTAGTGTTATCTTATCCACGGACGGGCTCTGAAGGGCTTCTTAGCGACAGGACTAACTCTACTAACGTCTGGAAAGATCTAGCGGACCTCAGCAAACTCTAGCAGCCAATTATATGATTGGCTCTGTGGGACGCTAGTCATTGTTTGGTCGCTAGAGTGCTTGCTGCGTCGCTTCGCTCCTCCGCTTCGCAATCATAATTACATCAACCCACAGATGTTTCACAGCTGTTCTGATTTCTCCATAACCAAACGTATTTTCCAAACAAGTTAGACCTAGAGAGCCTGTTTCCACCTCAGGCAGCATGGACCATGTTATTGAGATTCTGGCAGCGCATAATCATCCGGCGATACTGGTGGGATGCAACGCTCAACAATAGACGGGGTCTTAAGGCGCGATGAGCGGCAGATGCGATCTACTTATCCAAGATGGTGCGCTCGAGAACGTCACTTCAGACCTAGTTGAAACTGGACACTGGGAATTCTATACGCCGGATCCACAGACATCTGAGAAGTCAGTTCCTTTGGTTGAATGTGTTGCGGACCTGGTGCTCTGAAGGACTGAGATACGACATGAGTCCGAATATTAGTATCTAAACCTCTGGTCAGAAAATATCTACCGCATCAGCGTAGATACCTGTCCTACTGTTGAGGTTCCTGATCGCTATCCCTGGCATCCCATCCCTGTCGAAGAAACATGGCACCCGGCTATTGACCAAGGGAATGGCTGGTGATTTGGTCCCCGCCTTCATCCAGATACGAAGGTGCCCAGGAATATTTGTGTCAGGATTCACCAGTGTCATGGTGTAATGGGAAAATATTCATAGCCAAGAAGAATGGTTGCCGTTGGTGTTTTAACTGCGGTCTTTGCAGGCAGTCAAAAATTAAGTGGAATTAAATACTACAAAAATTTTCTCTCTAAGAATACCAGATAAAACCAATGCGTCCACCCACGACAGCCTCTCTGCCGCCATCTTCAACGCCTCCACTGTGCATACATCCAAGTGTGGGAGCAGCGAACCCCTCTCAGCCTTCATCCTCAAACAAGAACTAGAAGTCCAGCACGTCGCTATCCTTCCCCCGGTCAGCCACCGTCACACCACGCAATACAAGAAGATCCACCCGTGACGCGATGAACCCATCATGAAGTGTTTCATACGCGGCGACCGAGTCCTCGAAGCCGCCACTGAGTTGTACAAGCTCAAGGTCAACGGTGAAATCTTGGCGGCTGTGAAACTCGATTGCTTGCGATGTATCTTCGTATTTGAATTGCGTGGTGCCGCTCGCGATCGCGTTTTGAAAATATACAATTGCCGAGGAGGAGGCCGCCACGTCGACATCTTCAGTATAACACTTCGAACCGTGGAAGACGTTGGCAGCCCCTCCGATCAGGACGAACGACGGACGCATTCGGAGTGGGAGGAGGCGGGTGGCTGATAGGAAGCACTCGAGCAGAGCTGTTTCCATTTTGGGGGTGATGAAATTGAAGGACGGCATGTTATGGACGACGGCGAGAGGCAGTAGAGGCATTGAATAAGGCGGGTGTGGAAGTGTCGTGGGTGAAGCTATGGATATACTCAACATCAATCTGGCCTGATCAGCATATGGAGTTGTAGAAGAAATACTTCAATTGGAATTAGTACAAAAAGAAGGATAAGAACAATGGTGTAGTGGTATTGATATTCGATAACAGACTGCAAAGATATGTTAGCAGACGAATGATGGAAATGGAGCGTTGTACCATACTAGTTTACTTCGCACGCTGATATTTGGGAGAGAAACAGGCAGCGGGGCCAAAAGACTGCATGTCAACACGTTCGTGCCTTCCGTTGTATCTGAGTCTGCCCAGGTACCTGCAGCGGCCCACCAGTCTTCACACCACATGCTAGCAAAGGCCTCATCGATAACCATAGATGTCTGCAAGATAGCCTTCAGTGGCGGCTAGTCCAATAAAGACTGATTAGCGTGATGTATTCTCCAGCGTGAATCGCATTGGCGAGCCGGTCATCGGTGATGTTTGCAATGCTCGACGGGGGCGGATAGCGCTTGCGGAGCCGCTTGTACAGTCTTCTAGTTAGCAACTCGAAAGCGCTCTCCCTGTCGGAAAATCCGAAGAGTGGCACAGCCAACCCGTGGGAAGTCTGCTCTCATTATGAAATTCGTGAAATGGCGATGAGGGAAGGCTTCTGAGAGTGGCGGCGACTGGTAACGGCTTGAGACAAAGCACACGTGAGGTCGGAGGAATTGGCAATGATACTAACATCTGAATTGACAGGTGCTTAACGATGAACGAATTCGCAGTCGTACAGGGGAAAAAGCCGTCGCCGGCTGACTGACCTGGAGGAACAGGTGGGCTGTTTGATGATCTACTTGACAGCGTGGTCTGACTAGCCTTCGCATCTAAGTCAAGGGTTACTTCATCTTTCAACTTGACGCAACATTTGATTCCTTTTTGCTTCAAAAGAATTCTTTGCGCTCCGGCTCAACGCGTGGAAGAACTGTTGCTGGCGAACTGCTACGTGACGCGTTGCATTGTAGTCCACACACACAAAACCGGTCTGTAAGTTCAATGCCTGCGCCTGCAAAATGTGAATAGTGCAATTTTATATTGCTCATGGTATCCTAGACAATTTTGTTCGTGCGCGTACCGGATGCCGGCTACGGTACACGTCATCCGGCAGGGAGAAGAAGAATCAACAGCAGCTAAGCCACAATCACGACACGCGATGAGGCGTGCGATCTTGTCGACAACAACAACAGCCCACTGTCGCAATGAGATCGCGTTAGTCAACGTTTGTAGTGCTTGCAAATAATCTTTGAATGGCTAGGTAGCGTGGCTTAGCAACGTTGGATGACGCCAATGACGACTGCAGCCTCACACAGAACCCTATGTCTCGACAACTTCACATCGCGAAACATTAGTAGCAGTGGGTTTGATAACGGCCCGGGTTATTAAAGAACGTACTGTGTACACTCTCCTTGTGGGCAACGAACGACCTGGATACTAATTCTCTCACCGCCTCTCATTCAACTTCGTGGCAACAGGGAGGCGATGACAAAATTCGGAAAGATCAGCCAAACCAGCATGAAGCTATCAGAGGTTCAACAAAAGCGCTCGTCGAGCGAGCCCATAATCACCAGCAGCCATCGAAGCGATGCAAAGCTCTCAAAACCACCGAAAGTAGATGTCCTGCATACGCGTCCGAGGAACCGACTCCAGAAGCGAGGTTCTGCAATCCCGCAGATGCTCACGCCGTATCCCTCTCGCCTTGGCTTTTCAGCGCCCACCACCGCGCTGTACGTTCTGGAGTACGAACCGTATCCGTACAGCACCCACCCAAGCGAGTTCCTGGGTGCCTACTCATCTGTCGACTCGGTGAGCGCCGGAGCCATCGAACACGGCGCATTTACGTTCTCGAGAGAAGGACTGCTCGACGGCAGCGAATACCTGAACGCGGCGGGGCGCATCAAGATTCACTCCCAGCCAGTCCAGCGACGCGGTACTGAGGCGCCAATATCGATTCGCAGCCACAGTCTTGACGAACGACCAACAGCGCAAATTTCCGTCCGATCGGACATCCCTCACCCAAAGTCCCACTCCAACACACTTGCCAGGCCGAACGTGATGCACAGTACGACAAGTCTGAGGAGCATCCAGAAGCCAAAAGAGACCGTATATCTCGCAGTTCGTCATGGACCAACGGCGGCGCAGTGCCTTGGCGTGTTTGCAAGACCGAGTCTGGCGTGGGGAGCATGTCTGAAGAACAAGGCAAGCTGCGCTCTATCAGCCACGCTGAGCGAAGAGGTTAGGGATCTCGATGCGGATGGAATGCCGAGGGTCACTGCTCGGCTGCATGGATGTGGACAGCATTCTTGGTCTGTCGTTGCGAAAGTGGTCGATGCTACCGCCGAATAAACGCAGTCAGGCTTGCCGACAGTAGTACGCAATTTCCAGAGCCCGCACTTGAGCCGCATGACCAACGATCGACGAGCACCACTCTACCTCACAAACGTCGTCGGAGCTCGCCTTCATGGTGTATCGCCAAATGCTCCTTCCAGGATTTTTGACTAGCAGCACAGCACATGGATCCGCCAACCATTGATTGGTCTGGGAGTCTTTTCTCGTCTCGACCCCGTCCCGTAAGCCAGATGGACGCTCTCGAGGTGCACGCTCGCGACGCATCATTGGACGATCATAATACGGCACTGCCTCGAGCACGATTTCAGACTGTTTCAGAGGCTGGAAGAAGCAAATAGCAAAGAAATGTACATTGGGCTGAGTCCATTCCTACACAGCCTCTAATCCCAACAACTCCCAGCCGAGGACGCCGTGCCACCCAAATACAGCAACATCAGACTCCAGAACGCCCCCTCAAACAACAATACAGAAGATATATTAATAGACTCCAGCTAGCATGCTCTCAGAACCAATATGCATCTCCACTCCTACTCACCTCGAAACTACACCCCAGGCCCCTCCCCTCCCCCTTTAGCTTCGCCTCGCCCTCCTGAAGTTGCGCCAGTATCGTGTCGCCGACCGACGGCCCGTCTTCACACGTATCCTTGACGTGAATAACGACGACCTCCAACCCTTTCAGCGGGCTCTCAAACGCCGCGGTCAGGAGCGCGCGATTGTGCTCAGCGCTCACGCTGTTCAGGTTCGACGCTGCGGAGGCTGAGGGATGGGAGGCGTGGGGATTGTTTTGCGCACCTGGGGTGTGAGTGTGGGCGTGGTGCGGATTGGGCGTGTGTGTCCCTGTCGGAGTGTTGCTGAAGTCGGTCATATCATCGTCAGCATGCGAGTGTCCGCGTGCCGAGAACAGCGGCGTGTCGACGTCCTTGCCGATACCGCTGTGCCATGTTCGACTCTTGGCCGGCCCGTCGAGAAGGTCGCGACTAATGCGCTTGCGTTTGCGGCCCTGGCGCGCCGCCTCGCGGGCTTGCTCGTGCTCTTTGCGCGCGTCCTTGACAATTTCTGCAAGGCTGGACAGTTCGGCGAGCAGATGCCGTGGCGCGAGGTGGCCGAAGAGCACGGCGTCGGCTTGCGAATCTGTGTAGCTGCATTCGATAAATATGCCTTTAAGAATGCCGGCGGCGATCTTGGGCGCGGCTTCGGCCCAGATGTATGCTATGCGCGGCGAGAGGGAGAGGGAGTCTGGCTCGACGTCGCCGAAGATGAGGATTTCTTTTGTAGGCGTGGTCATTGTGGATTCGGCGCGGATGAAGAATGCGGATGATTCGACTACGCAGTGGTTGGCGGGTATGCTGTTTTCAGCGACATGGCTGGATCGTCGACGCTGATCGGTGCTGAACGGGCCGAGCCCGGGTGTTCCTGGCTGGCTGTGCGGAACGGGCATCGAGAAGCTGTGCGAGCGTCCTTCTCGGGTCTCGCCCTGATGTAGAGCCGCGGGAAGGTTTTGTAGCCCTGCCGTTTCCTGTAATTCTGCGTTCGATCCGCGGTGAACGTGCCCTGGGCCTTGCATGCAGTGCCCATGACTAACTGTGAAGCCTTTGACGCCTAGTCCATCACAAACCTCGATGTACCCTCTGCTTTTGCCCTGGCCCAAGGCAATGTTACCGCCGTCCGCAAGTCGCTGGAATGACACCAGACCGACTCCGCCGTCTTCGTCGGTGAGATTAGGCCAGATGACATTGTTGAAGATGTGCGTCTTGATGGCGTGGACTGTAAACGGCAACGCCGCTAATCTCTTCGGACGTGAAGTATTGCGGAACGCCGCGGTGTTGACAACAAAGCCAGACAAATGGTCCAGATGTGGATGTGTGATGAGATATGTCGATACGTGTTCCCTGACTACGTGCAACGCATTGGCTCTTGCGCTCGCGTTCGGGAACGGCAGCCCAGCAAAGACACCGTCAAGCAATGTAGTTATCATCAGCGGCATGTCATCGTCCGACAACGGTGTTTCGACCCCAGAGCCGTCATCAGACAAGGGTGCGTGCTCGATCGTCGGCGACGTAGCGTCGTCGTGAATCCGAACGCCACCATGTATACTATCCACTTTTGGGAGCGACTGAGGTCGTGGCTCTGAGACCAGGGGAAAGTGCTGCTCCAGGATTCTCGTGATCGCCGCGAGGTGGGAGCCAGCATCGACCGCAAGGACTGAGTTCTTAGACCATTTGCTGGCCGTCGAACGCACGAGGAAACCGGTCACATTGTCTTCGGCCGGACCACCGCCGGCACCTAGGCAGATGACCTGGATGGCGGGCTCATTGCTGTGCCCAGATGATCTTCGGACCTCCCTGTATCCATCACTGTCCTTCATCCCCTCAGCGCCCATTAACCGTCTCTTGAACGTCACTTTCGCTTGTCGACTTCAGCCTCTTTCGCGTGGATTGTGTCTGAGCCACACTCGATACACTCGCCCGTCAGTCCAAGTGTCGTAAAAGTGCGGACTGTGATGAACGCGAAGTCCCGCGCTGCCGCTCTGTGGTTTGCCCGGGCTAGCTTTCTTAAGTCACCTCAGTCCTCCCCAGGTCACAGACGTAAAGGTAAACGGACCGTCTCCACAGCCCTGCTGCCAACAGTCTCGCTGGCTAAGCCCTGGTGCACGAATCCCACGGCCTCAATCGACGTCGAGGTCGCACGCGGATGGGCCGGACCCACAACCCACCGGCCCTACGATGCAGGCAGCCGGACCCTGGGTCGAGTTCGAGCCGACGCGGGTGATCCAAGCTCTTTCCCTTCCAATCCGGCCTCACTACTCAAGGTGCAGCTCTGCGCTCACGCGACAGCGACGGCTTTTGGCGCGCGGGTGTAGGAATGCGTGCTGGTAAGCTCAACAAGTGTCGCGGAAGGCTGTGCGATACAACAACGGACTTGTAAGCCTGCGATTCAACAATAGTTGAACGCCGGCGAGAAGGTTGTAAGGTGTCGGGGAGTCAGGACTCGAGACGCAAAGAAGCTGCGCCCTTGTTTCTCGTTCCTTCCTACGCCGTTGCAATTGCGGCTGCTTGTCCCTGATCTGAGCCAATCAGCGCAGCAGCCCTGTGTGGGGTAGCTAGCGCCACAAAGAGCTCAAGAACGGTTGAGATCAGGTCGAGCCCCTCGAGACATCCAATCTTTCGGGTCGAGGACGGATGCCGTTGTGGTGTGGTCCAGCGGCGAATAACAGCGGCAATCGTTTCTCTTCGCCCGGCAGAGGAGAGGGCCAGAGCCACAGCTTGAGCTCAGCCCTTGATGTCCGACTTTCACCGCGCCAAGCTACCAAACAACGCGGGAGTCTTTTCAGCACCTTGTAGCGCGCTTGCGATCAGTGCATCTGACCGCGTTTTCGCGCAATCGATGCGATTGGCGACGGCAGTGTGCGGGAGCCTTAGTTGGTGCTGGGCTCGGTATCATTACTAGCCGCCTGACGAGTGGGTGTCTAGGGCCCTGAACAAGACGTTGATGTCGGTCCTTTGGTTGACAGCTGCATGCTGAGCTCCGAGTCGAAACTAGGCTCGTGGCTGGAAAGAGCAGCCAATTGGCGGTTGTATCAGAGAGCAAGGTGAGAGTCAAGATATTGCATGGTGCGGGGTATCACATGCACAACAGCACGTCTTTGGAAGAACAGAACTTGGTGTCGTGAACATGTGCTTTTTGCCTCTATGTTCGGGTCAAAGCAGTCTTTCTGATCTGCTATACCCATCCATCATCCCTCGTACCCCTTGGTGACAGGTCGTAAATCATCCGCATCATTAACAAAACGAACACCGCAGAAAAGCAAAGCATTTACTTGAAGACCTTGCCATCGGCCCACTCGTAGGACTTGCCGTTGACCTCAATGGGCTTGTCCCAGGACCACTGGTCCTCGACAAATTTGCGGTCCTCATCCTTGGTGGGGTCGAGCTTGGTGAACTCGTACGACTCCCAGTCGGGAGCGACATCGAAAGCAGGGAGAGCTTCCTGGCCACGGACGAGGAATGCACCCTTGATAACGGAGTCGTTGGCCTGGCCGTAGACGGAAGTGCAGCCAAAAATGTACTTGCGAGAAGCCTCAAGACGAGCGAAGAAGCCACCAATCAAGTTGGAGGTCATGAAGGTGAGGGTGAGCTCATCGTTGTACTTGTAGTCAATGGTCCAGAGGGAGTACTCCTCGAAGTTGACGTTCTCCCAGAACCAGGGAAGGGCAACCTCGCGGGTCTCCTCGTTGGAGTACTTGCGCTTCCAGTCGTCGAGGACGAAGGTGGCGCGGGGAAGGGCCTCGAGAGGGTGCTTGGGCTTGGGCGCGGCGGGGGCCTCGTCCTCCTCCTCGGGCTCAGCGGCCTTGGGCTTGGGGGCAGCCTTGGGCTTCTCGGCCTTGGGGGCAGCCTCCTTCTTGGGGGCAACATACTTGACGGCCTCCTCGATGAACTCGAGCTTGGGGGCAACCGCCGAGTAGCTGGGGGTGTTGTAGATGGTCTCGTACCAGCGAGTGACGTTGGGGTTCTCGGCCCTCCACGCCTTGTCGAAGAAGAACTGGAAGCCGCGGGCGATGATGCTCGCAGCGAAGATGTCGGCCAGAGTCAGACGCTCACCGACGAGATACGTGTGGGTGAGGAGGTGCTCCTCGAAGGCGTGGACGGCCTTGAGAGCAGCCTTCTGTGACTCATCGACGTTCTTCTTGTTGTAGGGGTCACGTCCGATGATGGGACGGAACCAGCCACCGAGGGGGGGGAGGACCTCGGTGTTGACAAAGGACATCCAGCGGAGGATGGTGGCGTAATCCTGCTTGGTCTTGCCGAGCAGGCTGGTCTTCTCGTTCTGGGAGGCGACTGGGCACGGTCAGCGGCTGAGTCACTGCGAGATGGGAGAATCCGAGAGCAGTGCCGCCAACGCAGATCAGGAGTTTACTTGTTTCAACAGTGGTGTTCAGACAGGGATAACTGAATGAATGACATTCGCACATCATGTAACGCCGTGGGCAGGGTCTGGGTATGCGGAGTACTCACGGTAGACGGCAATGGCAATCGCCTCGGACAGCACGAAGCCGTCGGCGCCCTCGAAGGTGGGGACCTTGCCGAGCTTGTTGAGCTTCAGGTACTCGGTGGAGACGCCCTTGGCCGGCTCTGTGTCGACAACTTCGATATCGAGGCCGTTCTCCTTTGCGACCGCAAGGAGGGACGTGGTGCGCGGGTTACCCTGAGGGGCTGTCAGTGCTGGTCCTCTCGCGAATTCTGGATTCTGCGGAAATCGCGCGCGCTGGGGGCCACTTACGCTGTAGCTGTAGATCTTTCCGAAAGACATGATTGCTGGCTGGCCGTGGGCGGGACTATACAATCAAGGTGAGCAAAGGCGTACGAGAAGGAAAGAAAAAAGGTTGTTTGGGCTCGAAGTGGGGGTGTGGTTTTCGCTTTGCTCTTCTGGCGCTAGAGGCAAAACAGGAAGGCCGGACCTTGGCGGACGGCATTTTGGAGCAGCAGCAGCGTACCGGCCATTGTCGACACCTGCGGACCATTCGCATCGCTGCTCGACCCCCGGCGCAATGGTGTGCCGAACAATTGTGCAAGGCCTGTCGCGCGCTGCCGACACGCTCGCATTTCAGTTGCGGATACAATGCGTCCGCTCCGCACGCCGCAGCCTGCAGCCCCCGACAGCACGATGCATCTCGACGACCGTGTCGAGGCCCGCCGCCGAGATCGTGACTGAGGTCCAGGAGCCCTTTACTGCCGCGAAGCCCTTCGACTTCGAGGCCGCAGATGGAGGAGAGGGCGCCGAGGATGGCAAGAAGATCCTGCGGACACTACGCGTTGTGCCTGCGTCGCCGTCGTACTTCAGCGCAAAGCCCACCTTCACCGACGACTTCCTCTCGCTCTCCGCGCTCCTGCGCAAAGTCGCTACCCTGCCGACAATACCGAATGCGGAGGCGCCCAAGGTCGCCTGGAAGACCGTCGAGCAGTACCGCATCATGACCAACGAGCCCGTCAAGACCCAACGCTTCCACAAGATGCTGCATATTCTGCGCAGGCTGAACTGCATCCACCCACAGCTGATGCCTCAGGAGGTCGTCGACGCCATGAAGCGCTACAAGAAGCCCAGCCAGCCCGGCGACATCAAGCCGAAGCCCGGTGTCATCGACGAGCTCGGCCGAGCCAAGGGCGTTGGGCGGAGAAAGACGTCGTCTGCCGTCGCATGGCTTGTGGAGGGAGAAGGCGAGGTCTTGGTCAATGGCCAGTCTTTGGCCGAGTACTTTGGCCGGCTGCATCTCCGGGAAAGCGCCGTGTGGGCGCTGAAGGCTACCGGGCGACTTGACAAGTACAACGTATTTGGTCTGGTAGAGGGTGGTGGATCAACTGGTCAGGCAGAGGCCATGACACTGGCGGTAGCAAAGGCATTGATGGTGCATGAGCCGGCGCTGAAACCAGCACTGCGACGAGGTGAGTCGAACCCTGATCCTGTTCACATCTTGCACTTTTGTCTTCTTCTTGTGCATGCAAGCGCTGGCGTCCGTAACGTACCAGACATGAACGAGCCACGTGGACTCTTCATGCAGATCTTCGAGCTATCAATCTGTTGCATGTCCGATGTCCAGTCGCTGACCCTTAGACAGCTGGCTGCGTCACCCGTGACCCAAGAAAGGTGGAGAGGAAGAAGCCCGGTCACATCAAGGCTCGCAAGATGCCTACCTGGGTCAAGCGTTGAGGTGCGACCTCTCTGTACATCACCATGTATATCCCCATACTTGTTGGCATTTAGTGGAGTAAAATGTAAGGTGGCCCAGCTTGAAAGTGTGCACGGCGCACGGCTTTATGTTCGACGTAGTGTTCCAAGCAAAGACTTGAATTGCAGTCGAGATCAGTGGTGCCCAAGATGGTTCATGAGTTGGAGCGACCATGAGCCGGGACCTGTGCAACCGAACTGTGAGGATGACCGACAAAGCTTCCACAATTCAGCTGCAACGACCAGGCAGCAGGAAGTCCGACTGTAGCCCAGGCATATGAACTCGATAGCCAGTGTGTGGTAGACAGCTTTCCAACTGGTCCTCGACAGAGTCAGAGATGATTTATAGATGCGCTGCAGACGAACACCCTGTGCGAGCTGCGAGGATAGCTCTCCCTGCCGCAACGATTACCTAAGGTCTGAGACTCTTCTTCTCAATCACAGCAGCGCTGTAGGTGAATGTAGGCATCTGTGGCCTAAGATCATGGACGAAGTATAGAGATGCGTCTATATCTTATTGTAAAATCGAAGACGGAGAGCAGTCAGTCACACGGTGCAGCTCCCAAAGGATGTCAGCCTGCCACACCGAGGTGCATCATCTCCGGAGCGACATTCGCCTTGCAGGTCTCAAGTGAACGCCTGCTGGTTCTTCTGACCACGTGTCCACGACAAACAATCTGTTACGATGCTGTGTCGTGTCGGCGCAGTCGGAAGAACCCTCTCAACTAAACGCCACCCTGAAACGCTGACGGCTGCTGTGCAACAGGTACCCGTTTGTACCGTTACAATTGTCGCAGGGTACTGACTGCCAGGATACAAGGTCGGAATAGTTCGTGGAGACGTTTCGGAATATGTTGTGAGATTGTAAGATCCCATTTCCTGGAATGCGGTAAGCAGAACCGTTTGTAACCGGGGTCCTTAGGTCTGACACCTCGGGTTCGGCTTGCATCTTGCATCAAGAACGACAGGGTGTGGTGTTGCTGCATCAAGACGTAAGCTGCCTGAAGCTTGGCAGTCTTTTGTGTTGCAAAAGGGAGGTGGCTTGCAAACATGATGCAATGGGCTCGCATGGATAAGGTCTTTGGTGCGCTATTTGCGATCGACTTCCCCTTGGTCGTGCAGCTGACGCTGAGCTGGATGCAGACCGAGATACCTCACTGGCTGGGTGAATTCCCACCGATCCGAGCGTCCGCTGTTCGAGATGGGTGCGAAATTTGACGGAACGAAGGCGACCAGATCCTGCAGATCACGGACGGGCACACCTCATCTCGGGCGCAGGCGAACGCGTTGCCCACAGATCGATCTCACGGAAGGTGCACACGGTGGCCAACATCGCGAATGCGTCCGACTGGGGCGGGTGGAGTGGAGCTGGCGTCGCATTGCGTGACGCAGCGGGACTACGAGTCGTTCTGCGATTAATAATTGCGCCAATTGGAGATTTTTTGTGTCGCTGCACGCCGGCAACGCTTGTCATGATTTCAATCGATCGTACCCGTGAGGATTTCGCTTGGATGCATCTCCTCAACGGCAGCGGGTAGGGCGGAAGCAGCCTCAACGGCGAAGGCCATTTGCCAGCGAGTGCAGGCTAGTGCCGGGTTGCAGCCTGATCCAGAAAAGCACCGGTTCAGCCTCGTTTTTCATTTTGATATAGTTCAGAGACGAACAGACCTCGGCTCCCGTGATTGCCATCAGGACATCTGACTCGCAAGCCGGTAGGGCTGGTTGGTCGGCATTGGTTCACAAGCCAGGCGAGAGTCAGTATGCTCCTCTCGAATGAAATGAAACCTTCTCGAAGCATGTTCACCGCGATCCTGTGTCATTTCCACAAGGCACTCGTGATACGGGAGCCAGGATCGCCAGATGATCGCCGTTGAATCGAGTGACGCATATCAGTTGTGGGACGCCTGTACGCTAGACCGGGTATTTCGAACGACGCCTGTTTCACCTACCGTAGCGGTTCTCTGCATCTACGGCAAAAGCGCACACCGCATAGATGGGTGTTGTTTGCTTCTCGAAGGTGGCACGTGGGAAGAGGTCGGTGAGAGTGGCGGAGAGTAGCCGGCGCAGGATGCTAACAGCAGCGAGGAGCGAGTCATGACACGGTGAGAGTGCAGTCGACGGATTATCATGTGTCGAGCAGGTCGCAGGCCGGTCAGGGCGCCGATGCGCTGGAGAGATAACGGCAGCTGGAGCCAGTGAGACCTGCAGGAAGGAGGCTCCGGCTCACTTGGCCGGCTGCTGCTCTAACTAGGTACTGCGTTGCATCTTACTGCGACTCAAGGGCTTCGAAGCTCTACAATAGATGGTGAAGTTCACCTCTGCATTTGTTGTGTGGAGAGTAAGGCTTCCTCAGCGATCGACGAGTGAGGCCGGAGCAAGTGGGTGATCGTGATCGCCAATGCGCATCAATCCTTACCGAACCGCGGGCGCCCGCATACAGAGCACTGAGAGCAGTGTCCTGTTTCGAGGCTGGACACGCTTGAAATGAACGCAACGCCCCTGAGCAGAGCAAACGAAAACAGCGTCCGCACAGAGCTCGGGCAGTCCTGTCCTGGCGTCAACACAGACACGTCAAAGCAGCGAGCAGAGCTGAGGCCACAGAGGTTCGACAGCCGTTTGATGATTTGGCAGCAGAGAAACGAATCAGCTGTGCATCCGCAGCCTAACACGTCCTGCATGAAACACATTTGCTACAAGCATGGACACCCCGTCGACTGCTGCAGTCGGCGCACTGGCAGCGATGCCGGGCTCATCAATACTCACGTGTCGTCACGCGCGTTGGAGGTTGAGGTGTTCCCAAGCCGACAGCACGGCGACATTTGGCCGGGGTGGAGCCGCACAGGGCCGAGTGAACCAGACTTTGCATGGGCACCAGATAATCGACGGTCGCGCAGGCTGGCTGGCAGGCCCGCTCGCTGGTTAACAGCATGGCAGCATGACGGCATGTCGTGGGCACGCTGCTCCCCACCGCGACCTCCAGCGGTGATGCCCTGCAGCAAAGCTGCCCAGGCGCAGATCTACCAGGGCGATCTGTAACTATGGCTTACAGGGAGCTGCTAGCCCCGCCCAAGCTCCTCAAGCCTGTCGAGGCCTTGCAGGGGCCGGCCATCTCGGAAATCGGAGACGGAGACTCTGAGGTAGGTACGCAGTCGTCCAGTCCAGAGCTCCTCAATCAAGCCTCCTTACTCGCCAGCCCTCACCCACTCGGCGCGCAGCCACATCCACTCTTCAGGACGCAGAGCGGGATCCCAGCGTGGCCTGCGTGCAGTCCTGGTGCCTCCGAGGCCTCTTTAGCTCGTAGACACCCCGGCCCGTGTATATTTACATTGTGTTTCGCCGGCGTGGCGCGTTGGCAAGTTCCTTTTTGCTTCCACGCTGGTCTGCTTGCTCGTCGTTGATGCTCTGAGCGCGCAGCCTCTCACTGTGGCTCTGCCTCCCTTCATCAGCATCGCCTCACAGCTGTCCGAGCACGGAAGCACGTCCAGCACGTCCAGCACGTCCAGCACGTCCAGCACGTCCAGCACGTCCAGCACGTCCAGCACGTCCAGCACGTCCAGCACGCCCATCACGCCCAGCATATCCCGTCTGTCTTCCTCTTCGAGTAGGCACCGAGCCCCAATTTAGCCTCTGTCGCACTTTGTCGTCCGGTCTCGGACCGACCGCTTCACTCCTCTTCTGCAAATTGCACTGCGCCGCCCAGTAGTGTGCGGGCAGCCGTCCAAGACGCTGCCTGGTTCGGCATCGTGAAGAGCGCCAGCACGCGTTAGAGCCGTTAAGCTACCGGCCGGCGACGACGTTTAAGCTGTTTGAGACGATCTCCTAGAGGGGCCTGCTCCTCTTCCGACTCGTTGAAAACTTAATCGCGTGCAAGGACTGCCCTTCAAACACCGCACGCGCTCGCCGTGCTTCACCACCAGAAACCTCTGCCCACAGGCTTCTCCACGCTTGCTTTTGCCGGACCATATCCTGTCAACTAGTGGCTACGTGTCTAGCTGGCCCACATTCAGGCTCGCCTATTCTCCAGCATTTCCACATCGGGACCCAGCATTCCGGGTGTCGCCAGTCTCACTGCCACAGATCCTCGTCGCAGCCGTACGAGGATACCCCGGACACATCACGCGTGTAGTGAGGCCTCTGCCCGCAGCTACATTTTTTGCATCATCGGGCTCCATTGGTGGACCTGTCGATGCGCCAGGGTCGAGTGTATATCATCCGTCGCTGCCAGTAGCTGCGACCATTCTGGCCCATCAGATTCGGACGTCACCTCTCTCCACCAGCCAACACCACACAATCTTGACCGTTGATCCACTCGCACGGCTTCCTTTCCATTCGGCATAGCTCTTGCTGTCGTCACTACCAAGACATCCGCCCATTCCACGCCCGCCTCGTCCTGACTCTTGCGCCCCTTTGCCGTCTAACTCCAAGCCTGCAAGCTGGCCAACTACGCGACGCCACCAGTCTCGCCCTTGGGGTACCGGGCAGTCGAGCCGCCCTTCAGTCTGCAGCTCAAAGGCCGGCTGGGTGGGATGGACAATGAGCGCCGGCCGCGGCAGAACCCCTCAGGTTACGCGAGCCAGCAAGGCACGCTGCTTCCACCGCAGGGCTCATATCCCGTGGTAAGCGCATCTGATCGCTTCAGGCAGGCGCCCTTGACTGCACCTGCCCCACCCACCTCCGTCCCCTCCTCCAGCAGCCGCCCCAGCCCGCAGAGTTACGGCTACGCGTACGGGGAAGGCTCGCAGTTTGTCGGCTCGTCAATCCAGGCCTCGGGCGTGTCCTACGGTGCGCAGGGCTACAGCCCCGACCAGCAACCGCAGCAGCAGCGCGCCGCGCAGCAGCAGTACTCGCCATACGGTCAGAATGTCATGTACAGCGTGTCCGGCGCGCAGGGCTCTGCGACAGGGTCGTCACAATATGAGTCTGTGGAACCGTACCAACAAAACAGGGACTCGGCAATAGAGGTCCTCAGCACCGGCTTTGGGGTCGCACAGCCGCAATACTACAATGTGGCCGGCGAGGGTGGTCCCACGAGCGCGCCTGCCTCTGCCATTGCACCCCAAAACGTCCCTTCCCAGTACCCTCCGCTGGGATATACAGCGCAGCAAGCCCCGGTCGGACGAGAACCGCTTGCGCCCGCATACAGCACCGCCGGCATGACAGACCCCCATCAGGCCACCGCGCAGGCCGGCTACGCGCAGCCGGGCAGCTACAGCGAGCAGCACGGCAGCGGCAACGAATACGACGACTTCTACAATAACTACCAGAGCGAGCTGAAGAAGACGTTCCAGTACGTGCACGATGGGCGCATCAACGAGGCTGGCACGCAGCTGCACCGCCTGAGCGAGTGGCTGCTGCACTGGGCCGAGACGCTGGGTAAGTTTCTCGAATCGCAATGCACGGGACGAGCAGCTGAGTTGACTACAGGTCTAGTGCGCGACGACGAGACCCACTACGCGCAGCGCCTCAAGCTGTGGGAGGAGTTCAACACCTGCTGGTTGTCGACGCTCCAGAAGCAGAAGACCATGACCCAGGATATGCTCAGCACCGGCCAGCGCCCCCAGCCGCCGCAGACGCTCATCGACTACGGCACGCTAGAGAAGATGGGCACGCAGCTCGTCAAGAACTGCGACAGCATGGAGAAGCACGGCCTGGTCGACTACCAGATGGGCGTGTGGGAGGAGGAAATCATAGCCAGTTAGTGTTACCCTTCCCACGTTTTGCGCGTCACTAACCACCGTCAGTGTTGACCTCGTGTCTCGACCTCCTTGAGGAAGTTGGCGCCGGCTCCTCAGCACAGCGACCCACCGCAAACGCGCGGCGACGATGAATCTCTGCAAACGTTCGCTGATAAACCGACCATGTCACGCGAAACTACAATTTCTCCATTCTTCTTGTACATCTACTCTGCTTTCATCATTCTGGACTTCTTGCTTTTATTCTGTTTCTTAGACTTTGACAGCGAAATTGTTCTGGGCGGCTGTCTGCATTGATTTTTTTCATGTCAACTGTACTTGCATTCGCGTTGCATCATTACTTCTTACCGCTTCGTTCTGTATTGTTATCCACTTCGGACTATGTACGCCAAGGAGCGGTGTTCGCACCTATGTCTACAATGGGATACCGCTTCTAGGCGCTTACAGGGACAAAAGGGCATGTCTGGATTTGCACTCAGGGTTTACAGCGGGTTGGGTTATGCGGACAAAACAGGCCTGCGCAGGCGCTGGTCGGTCGATGGGTTCTACGATAATGAGCGGGGGATGGCGTTGTGGAGACTGGGCATAGCGGCATGCAGGAAGTCACCGGTATGTTCATGCTCAGCTGCAGCTTCTGGTGGCCTCAAACCTTGCTGCGAGAGGGATAGGAAGGTTTTGGACAACCATCCACCCAGAGGTTGGGTGCCAATGGGTATTCCTCACTCGTGCCCAAGCTTTGGAGGTGAACTACTGATGCCAGGATTGTGGGGTTGAGACGACGGCACGAAGCGGCGACATGATTGGGCTGCATGGTCGGGCAGCAAGTACCTGTACCATAGACGACTACTTAGTATAGACGCTTTCGCTTCACTGCATGACTAGTTGATAGACACCGTTCATTCCAAGTTCATTGTGTCTTGCGTGCTGTTGACGTGCGGCCGTCGCGCTTTCCGCTACAGGGTTCAGGATCCTTCTCGCCTCACATATTCCTTCTATCTCATGAGCAGCCCATTGCAACCTGACAGCCTCACCCACTTCCAGCCTTGCAGCACTGCACAAGTTCTTTTGGCGGACGTCCAACCCATGCGGTGTCCCATGCATGCCGGCGACCTGAACATGTATGCGTCTCTGTCGTCTCCGAAAAGCAAGCAGCGTTCCCAACCAGACCTGCGGAACCATGATCGACGCATGCTTTTTCCACCAGGGGCAGTTCGCCAATCTCCAATGGTCTGCTGCGAGCTATCAGCGATCCATCACATCTCATCACGTTGCAGAAGTGGAGTCGACAGTGGTGCTACATGAACGGCGATCATCGCATTGCCAATACTTTGAGCATCGCACTGAACGCAGTTGCACGCACTCGACACGCTCACGGCTGTCATTGCGCATGCCGCTGCAGCACACGACCCCGCACCACCAGCCTCTCCAAAAGTAATCCGAGCTCTGCTTTGTCCAGCATCGCTGTCATGTTTTCAAGGGCAGCCTCTCAATGATGAGGTCTCAGCCGCATGCGCTTGCCTATCCGCCTCGGATTGCTTCCACTCGCTGATCGCCTCCCACTAGCGCAGATCCCCTCAAGTGGAGACGAACATTTAACCGGTCGTCTCCGCACCCCTGGAGCAAGCCTCCATCACGCCGCAGCTGACAGCGGCTGCTCACATTCGTCGATCTTTGTCGCATATGGGATGTATCTCGTACTCTTATAGCAGTGCCACGTCGTCCTGCACGGATCACAACTCCGCACGCTTCGTCCGCAGCATCCGCTGCTTTAGCCAGGACTTACTCGAGGACACGCTGGTGCGCGTTCTTTGTCTCCAAGGACACAAGTCCGGTCTTTGTGAAGTCCAAGCTTGATTTCTTGCTCTGACGTGGTATTCATCTGACTCGTGTTTGGAGAGATTGGCGTTCATGCAATCGTACAGATACAAGGATCGACCCGCTCCACCGTGGCCCCAGTCAATGCCTGACCAGCTATTACCATGTTGTGGGAGCAAGCTGTCAGTCCACTTTCGTGGTAAGGTTGTGGCCACACAAGCGCGGTGTTGGCTGTCACTGCAATTAGCCTTTTTGCTGCGTGCGTACAATGTGGCGTGCTAAGGCCACCGGCGATTTGTGCAGATGAGTTGGTGTTGGACAATGTTGGAGGGCAGTCTCACACGCAGCCTTTATAGACAAAAGTACTGTGCGAGTGCGATGGCAGGGTCAACCTACGTTAGACAAATATGGGCACATGCATCGCTTGGACGGTATTAGCACGCTGCACATAAATCTATGTGTGGAGGCCACAAATGCAAGTCAAGCCGTGCATAGAAGAGCGGACTTGAGTCACATTCGCCTTGTTATTCGTGACACTCTGTGCTAGGACATTAAATCTTGCATAACAAAGACCTAACACAGCAGGTTTGACATGAGGCATAACGTCTCTATTGCGTGAATATGCTGCTGTAGCTATTAGGTAATCCCAAAGAATGCCATGGTCAGAGTTCGGTCTGTTCAGGGGGCTTGTTGCGAAGTTACGCGTCATCACCTCGCGCCGTGCTACCAACTTTACAAAGTCAACGCAATGCTTAGCCACTCTGGCCGAGACTCCAAGCCTGTGCATCGCGCTATGGTCAGGGTCAGGGCTTGCGCGACAGTACTGGAGGCGTCTAATAACTTGCACTCTGATCAATCTTTGCAACAAAGTACGGGGTCGTCAAGGCTCTCTTAACAAAGCATAGTGTTGTCAATGCTCCCGTCAAACGACAGCAAAAAGAACAGCACAAACGATGTGGAAGGGTGTTCAGACAGAGTTAAGGGGTTTGAACTGTTAGAAGCTAAAGCACGAGCGACAACAGAGACGAAGCGGACGGAGACGAGCAACAGCAAAAGCGACGAGGAAGGGCGTTCACATGGAGTAGAGGTGTCAGAACAACCAGAAGCTGAAGCAAGCAGAACATCGAACTGTGACGCAGCGTTTAATCGTTGCAAGCATACTTTGTGCAAGCACTCCGCGCCCGCCCACCTCTACACATGCCTCACCTTAGCTTTGTTGACGCCCTTGAGCCGTTGCATTATGATGTAGTCCTACCCTCGTTCGTGTGTGGAGAGGCGATTCCGAGAGCGCGTCGCGGAGATGCAGAGCGTTGTGGTTGGTGTTGACACAAGTGCTGTATCGATGTTGTATAGGCTTATTATACGCTATGGCAACGAAGACGAGAGCAGAAAGGCTATAGATGATGATGTGCGAGACCGTTTGGAGGACGTGAGGAGGAGCAAGTTGGACGTGGGCCCGATCCGAGAGAGGATGAGGAGACAGATTCAGGAGCGACTAATCCTGCAAATATATCAATATGCCATCAACAGACCTATCTGCGGTTTGGACCGCGGCACTTGTACTTCTGCTCCGGATGTCAAGGATGTCAGCTATTCTCGCCTTCCTGAAGATATCAAGGCACCATTGAGCGCGAGGACGCGAAGGAGTACGCACAGGATCGATGGCCATGTTTGGTGTGCGGTGCGTCATCTATTTATTTGTTCAACACGGCTCAGTTATTCCTCTGCGTCTTGTCCACTTGTTTCTCTTTCTTCTTCTGCTTCTTGCTCTTCACCTTGCCTTCCTCGTCCTCCGACGCCCGCTTCCCATTCGCATTGACCTCCTGGCCATCGCCTTCCTCCTCAGCGACCTCCTTGACCAACAGCTCATTCAGCGCCTCGTTGTACTTCTCCAGCTCGACAATGTCCCTGAGCTTGACGCGCATGTAGTCGAATGCGATGGCCACCTTCATGTCCTTGTTCCTGACTTTGATCACGCGCTCGTTCTCCGCGAGCGAAGATACATGCCGGACGAGGCTCGCGGGCTGAGGAGCGGCAGGCCCGCCGGGCGGAGGGCGAATGTCGGAATTCCCTGTGTCTGCGCCTGCAGACGGGTCGTCGACGTCGTTTGCTTCCTCTGCGTCTTCAGCAGCCATGTCATACTGCTCTGCTTCGCCGTCCTGAACAGTCTGCAGAACAGGGATCTTCTGGTATCGCTGACTAAAGTGAGTGAGCACCACGGCCATGGCATTCATCTGCGCGCCAATGCCCAACGCCTCGCTCGTGGTGGAGTGCTTCTTCGCCCTTGCATCGCCTGCCAGTTCGTCGTCGAACGTCGCCTCGTGGATCAGCACGGTTGTGTTTCTCCCGATCTTGGTAAATGCCTGGCTCGGGCGACAGTCCCCAGAGTAGCTAATCTTCAGCGGCTTGACGTGCTTGGGATCCTCGGGCGAGCGTGGGAAGAGCACGCTGCACGCCATTGCACCGTGGCAGTGGGCGACACGGACGGCCTGTATGTCGGAGAAGCCAAAGAGCGCTGTGTAGTGTTGCTTGGCAATATGTTGGTCCCCTGGCGCGCACTTACCGTTCATGGTCAGCACGCTGCCGCTGTGACCGATGACCTGCGGCGAGATCTCGAGAGGCAGGATGCGGGAGTAGCCAAAGTCTTCGATCGAGGAGTACTCGCGCAGCCACTGCAGCATGCCGTCGTGCGATATGACCGACAAGCCATACTCGCCGGCCTCCCTGGCGACGGTTGCGGCGGCGGGGAGCGAGGATCTGGGGATGCTGGCGTGCTTGATGGCGTACCAGGCCTTGATCACGGAGGCGGTACCGAGGTGGTGGTCGGCGTGCAGGTGGCTGATCCAGATGGCGCGCAGGTCTTTGAGGACGAGGGTGAGCTCTTCGGGCGGGAAGACGCGCTGCAGCTGGCCGAGAGTGTTTTCGCCGGCGTCGAACAGGTAGTTGCCTACCCCAGGGACGCGAACAAGCGTAGCAGAGACGTTGCGGTACTTTGAAGGCAGCGCCGAGCCAGTGCCGAGGGTAGTGATCTCGGTGTTGGGGTGGGGGAGGAGGGCGCGCCACGGCTCAAAGTCATTTTGAGACTCCTTTACCGTCTTGTGGGCGATCTTGGCCAGCTCCAAAACTTCCGGTGCAGTGTCTCTGCGGACTACCTCGGGCTCGAACGGCGCTTGTCTTGTGCCTGGCCTGAGCTCGAACTTGGGCATCAGCGTTGCAGAAAGGCCTCGATCGGCGACGACGGCGTTCTCTGGCAGTGTGATGGTCTGCTGCATGTAATCTGCCTCCGAAAGCAGCTTCTGAGGCACGCTCAAAAGATCGAACTGAGGCGTCTGGTATCGGACGGGGTCGACCTGAGCCAGTCTTGTTGTCTGGGCAGCCACCGAATCGTACGCAATCCGGTTGGGTGTCAGGTCCGCAGACGAGATGATGTGCCTGATGGCGCTGAACCTTTCCATAAATTTGGTCAGGGTGGGATGGCCCGCAACCCCCGCACCAAGCGTCCAGATGAAAGCCTCAATGCCTGTCATGAGGGTGGGCGACTGAAACTCGTCACGCTCAACGACAGCCTCGAGGTATTCCACCGAAGGGATGTCGAGCAGAGCGAAGCCTTGACCAGGTCTGTCTGGGCCAAGCACCTGCTCCGGGGTGATGGTCTCTCCACTCGCGTTCTGCACGGAGACGCCCCTGCTGAGTTTTCCATAGTCGGGCCCCTTCTTCACACCGAGCTCTGTCGCACGCTTGACGTCGAACGAGCCGCGAGCGGGATACGTGCGTACAATGTACGAGATGCACTCAGGCGCCGGCCTGGTCGGTGGCAGAGACATGATCTTCGCTCCAGGCCAGGGCGTGCGCGTCCACACCATCGTGTCTGGCAGGGGCTCTGGCCCGCCGGGCTTCGGGCCCGTGTACGGCTTGAAGCCCGTCGAGTCTGCGTTGCGCACGAACAGGGCCGTGGGCATTTCGACGTCGGAGATGTGTCGCTCGACGAGGGTGTCGAAGCTCCAGCTCGAGTCGAACATGTGCTTCACCGTCACGCTGCGGATGCGGTCGTGGCGGGCTTGGCGCTCCTCGGGCGTCTCGTTCTCAGGCGCCTGGTGCTCTTCGAATGTGTTGCCGCTCAGCTCCCAGCGCCGAATCTCCTCGTCCAGGTCGGCGTTGGCCTGTGCGTCCATCTCTCGACGCAGAGGCGTGACGGGCAGCGCCCACACCTCGAGGAAGTCGTCCTGGAACGAGGGCACGTGAGCACCGTCGGCGGCCTTGGACGGCGACGTGGCCGTGTATTCTGTCGCGTGGATGGGCACGCCTTTGCGGAAGATGAAGCGTCGGCACGTGGCGAACATGTGCTTGAGGTTGGGCGGGCCGTAAATGTTGAACTGGGGCTTCGCCGGCGGCTCGGACTTGCCCGCCTTGCTGCCGCGCTCCCTCGCCTTCTCCCACGTGGCCAGGACCTGCGCGTACGAGGTCGAGGTGGCGTCGGTCATGGTCAGCATCATGCCGGCCATGCCGCCGACGTTGCGCCACTCGGTCCTGCCCGTCAGGAAGAAGTCCTTGACCTTTAGCAGGCGCGTCCCCTGCTGCACGAGCGCGCGCTGGACGCCCTCGGCCTGGCTGCCAAACACATAGTGGCTGCTGTTCTGGGTGCGCAGGATAATGGTCGTGCCCGGCGTGTCGGCGGTCGGCGTCGTGATGAACTCGATGCTCGACGACATGTCGCCTGAGACGAGCTTCCCGTTGCGGGGCGGCGCTCGCGTCTCCACTACGGTCCCCTTGGCCGCGTCGTGCAGCTCGCAGAGCAGGACGTGTCGCTCGGGCTCGCGTTCGGGCGCCCGCTTGCGGTCGATGAAGGTGCCGAGCGTCTTCCTGATCTTCTTCCGCTGCAGGTCCTCAATGAGGGTGGCCGACGGCCGGGCTGCCGAGGAAGCAAAGTCGCGTGTGAGTCTAGACCGTCTGTGCGAGAGCGCTGAGTGGAGAGTTGCTGCAGCTGTGCGTGACGAGAGGAAGACGCGATGGGTCGTGACGGTCGTTATGCGCCCGGTGGCGACGAGTCGGGAAGCCAATGTGGCGGACGGGCGGTCAAGCGAGCGGCGTGGGAAGAGGAGTCTGTGCAGTCAGAGAGAGCATGTAGGCGTGGTCTCCCGCCAATTGAGACATTGCAGTTGAGCAGTCGCGAACTTTTTGGTGCAATGACGCCGGACCCTGCAGTGGGCACGGGCCGTTGAGCCAGATGCGCGGAAACACATCCACTGTCACTCCTGTCAAATGTCCACAGAGCAGCATATCAACCTCGCATGGACAATCCCACTTCCATACGTCAACACACACACAATTCTGGTCACGTTATTGTCTACTACTAGCTCCTTCACCAGCACGCCTACAGTTGTCCTCGATCCAAATGAGGCCCAGACCATCGCCAGAATCAGCGACATCGACCGTCTTCTCCTCTGTCGACACCACCACCCCGTCCATCATGGCCTGCATATCTGGAATGTCGTCAGTGCCAACCTCGACGTGAGGATTCTGGCGCACCAGCTCGGCCACGTTGTCAGTCTCCGCCACAGGCTCGGTCCGCCGACAGCCCTGCGCCAGCATCCACTCAATGCACTTGTTGTACCGCCACTCGGCGGCCGACAGCAGCTGGAGCCCACCCGTTGCATGAGGTGAGAAGAGTAGCTTGGCATGATTGATGTTTTCTACGTTGATGCCTGTCTCGTCAGCAACGTCCTTGAACGTGCACACGGGGCACGTGATAGTATCAGGCTCCTGGCGGAACTGGCGCTGTGCGCCGACAAAAGCCCGGCCGCCGTGCGAGTTGTGCATGCAGTTGCTGCCACACGTGTTGCGTGCATCCACTAGCTGGACGCGATGGCCATACTCTAGATCGTGGATCGTCGAGGGCGTGTTGCAGGGGAGCAACTTGATCGCCGTCTTGCGGTACTGCTCTTTGATGTTGAGGGGGCGGTACGATGGCAGCCTAGACATTGTGTGCGAAGATTTGTTGGCGATAGTGTGCTTGAGGATATGAAGTAGCGTGGTTTGCAGCACAAGTTGAGTGATGAGGCAGGTTCAGCTCTCCAACGAGACAATTCTGTACATCCCCACCCGCCAAATACCGACACGATGCAGACACAGCGTGGCTTAGAGCATATCCAGTGCACTCCTGATGCTGCTCACATTGTGGACCCATGAGCGATCTCTGGACTTTCACCACCCCCGCCCCGTAACAACCACAGCTTGCAGTCAAGCAGTACGACCAATCGACGCAGCTATCTGTGGCATCCCAAAATAATGACCGCACCCATTGTACAATAATGACAGCACCCATTCCACAACAATGACAGCACTCAACTCACAATAATGACAATGACAGCACTCAACTCACAACAATGACAGCACCCAACTCACAATAATGACAGCACCCAACTCACAACAATGACAGCACCCAACTCACCTCCTCATTGCCCCGAAAACGGCAATTACCACATCCTCGACTGCACGCACATCATCAAAACGCACGTCATCACAACGCACCTCCACCCGTCTGACCCCGACCCCTCTTCCTGCGCCCCAAACTGTGCACGCCTAATTCACGCCCAGAAACCACAGCTCCCACGAGCATGGTTCAGATCCACGTCACGTCTCCTCTTCATATGTCCCATCTGCGTCAGAGAGTGCATACGTGCTGACTACGATGCACTGTGCAAGCGGTACAAAGATCGAGGCGGCAAGCCCGTGGATAGCAAGGATCACACGCAAGTCTGGCTATATAATGCGGTGATGGGGTTGGTGCGGGAGGGCGGGAGGACGTGTGAAGCGACGGATGAGGCGCTGAAGAACCCTGATACGGGCGACAAGGAAGACTGTGATGATGAGACACTGGCCGAGCGACTGGCGGAGGTCGAGGTAGGTGCGGGTGATGACGATGAGGACTTGAATGCGATGATGGAGGGGTTGGACGTGTAGAAGATGGCACTGCAATACGCCTCATCATGATCGAGACGGACTGTTTGCCTTTGGACGGAACTGAAAGTATGCGCAGCGGTGCTTGAAATATCCGTGATGAAGTGAAGCGCAGTCTGCCTTTCATCTCCGACGTGACAGGCAGCAGCACACCGCCTCTACAAACCGTCCCCAGCCTTGCCCAATCCAACCGCACCCATTGCTACCACCCGCCCGCTCAGTACTGCCACACAGTCTCCCACTTTTCTCATCATTTCGGGCCCACAATGCCGGCACGAGAGGCGATCACATACCCCAGAGTTGCCGTCACCTCTGAATACAAGCCTTGTCACGACGAAATCTCGCCTTTCTAGCATGTGTTGGCCTGCGGACACCTTGTCACAACGCCTGAACCCGACGAACCACGTGTGCCCAGTTGCAAACCCGCAGCGAAGGGCAGCCCGCGACAAACGCGGAAGGTGGGCCTGAGCAAGGCGCTAAAGAAGGGCTTCTACTGCGACGCGTGTGTCGAGATTGAAGCCGGGAGAGAAAGATGCGCGGACAATTCGTGCGAAGCAGCAGGTAAGCCTGCCTCCCTCTGTGCAGCGACTGCTCCAAAACTGACTAGTCGTCCCAGAAAAGTACCGCGTAGGCTTCCGCAAGTCGAGCGCGGCGACGAGAAAAAAGACGAACAGCTTTCGCAAGTGCTACATCGCGCAGAAGATCGTCTCTGTTCCGTGTGACGAGGAGGGAGATGTGGTTGATGGCTACCATCCACATATCAGCAACCACCCGTCCGATACAGCGTGCCCTCCGACAGGCGACAGTATGTTCGAGGACATCGACATCACCCCTACGAAGACCAAGAAATCGAAGAGAACGGAGCCGTTCCGTCGAGTGGGGTCACTTCACTCAGCGCTGGACAGTTCAGGCGATGAGGAGTCGAGCGCCGACGAGGCACTTGCTGAGGCCGTCGAGGACTTAGTCACGGAAGCTGCACGCTGGCTCCGCGACGAAGAAGACCGAGAGCGTCGACGAGTAGAGAAAGTCGCACGCAGACGTCGCGCTGCTACCCCACTGGTCGTCCTCAGCTCGAGTTCGGCCACAAGCACATGGAGCTTCATCGCCAGTAACTCGAGTCCCCTGCCTGTACAGTCGAGCCTGCAGACCTCTACGACAGCTTCTCAGACTAAGAGGTGGAAGAGCATCGCGCAAGAGACGGCAACCTCTACGTCAGCGTCTCAGACCAAAAGGCAGAAGACGGTCGCGCAGGAGGAGACGCTGAGAGCATCCAGCTCTGATCGAGCAACAACGCCCGTGAGTGTTGGCAGTGAGACTGTGCGCTCGAAAGGGAAGAGCAACAACGGTACAGGAGGGGCTACAACCCTGTCGAAGTCCACGGTGGCAAAGAAATCATCGAAGCGTGTGTGCAGCATACTTTAGAGCGGGGCGAAATCACGCGTGAATTATACAACACGACGAAAGAGAGGTGGCGATGAGAATAACTGAAGAAAGCTCCTGGTTTTAGGGTGATTGAATTTGTTCCAAACAGAGACTGGATACATGTTGGCGGAGATTTATGTTGGCTGAGCGTGACAGCATCTGGTTGGAAGAGACGTCGGTACACGGTCTCTGAGGGGACGCTCGTCGCAAATACACAACCTGGAACTGACATAATGATCTCGTAGCACTTGGTTAGCAGTGTGACATCCAGAGTATGAGCACAAAGATCAGTGTGCTTACTCCAATGTCATTTGATCGCCCCACAACCTGCGTTAGTCACAGATATGTTGTTGCGGTATTAAGTGCAATGAGAACCAGGTGTATTCTGTTGTTCAGTTCTGTTGTTCTGCTTGTGTCCGCCTCTCGAAGGGCTGATTGCAGGGTCTGTTTTCATGCCGTATTTGCCATGCAGCTGAGGCAAAAGGTGCTTAATAAGATGAGGAAGCAGCACCATACCACCGCCAACAACACGTGATCTCCTTCTCTTCACAACCGTTACATAATTATGCATTCACTCTGTGCATGTGCTTCGTGCTAGGCATGATTCCACGATTTTTATTTCTCACAACTGTGAGGTTCTAGCGACTATACGCATTCGACCATTCTTGTCCGTTCGTCCAGGAGCTGGGAAGTCCTGCACATATGTAGGTGATGCCCTTGACCCCCTCTCGACAAAAGTCCGCTGGATCAGGCTTACACCTGCGATAAATTCGGGACGTTTACCGCTGTGCAAAGGCGTGAGCTACAGATCGATGTTGATGTTCGCTCTTCTGGGACGAGATATATAACCGTCGACGCGACGAGATCCCCGCTCGCTTGGAACACGCTACCCAGTGCAAGCGTAGAATGCACGGTGATAGAATCCGGCCGCTCCTTCTCCGTCCCCCCGGGTGCGCCTTCCCGCATGTCACGACTCGAAAGCCGCACATCGAGCCCAAATAGCTCGATATGGCTTGACCTGCCCGAAAACACATTTCGCCAACATCTCGTGGAGCTCGAGCAGCGCACAAATGCAGTCCCTATTGACCCGCAAATTTTCCCCCTGGAGCAAGACGAGCATGCGAAGAACTACACTCTACCTCTGCGCGTCGAGCAGCAGCTAGCAGACGACCTTGCCTTTTTAGCTGCGATAGATGAAGGCGCCCAGAGTGTGGCTGCAGTATGCTTGGAAGAGCATGTGCGACCCGTGGGGCTCACAGTGCGGTTCGCGGCCCTCGACCTGGCTCTTGATGACGGGATCAGGGCTGCTTTGCAGGTCATAGTCGACGCTTTGACTATGACTGGTGCGGAGCCTGATGATGCAGACCGAGTCGAATCCTTATTCGACCAGGTTGTAATGCTGCACTTTCGTCGACTGCTTGCTCGGCTCCGGTCCAAGAAATGGGAGAAGCCGAAGTATCTTTCTAAGCAGCACAAGAAACCACTTTGGCAGGACTTCGAAAATCTGACTCACCGAGTCCAGTTCCTATATTCCAAGAAGGAGACTGCCTTGAGACGTACGGTGGAGGGACATCTGCAGATCCTCGCCTCTCACTATGAGGCGTTCGAAGCGTCTGAGCCTGGATCTAAGAGCGAGCTCAACTCCCTGAAGGAGCTTATTAAGGCAAGTTATCAATGCTGTAAAGCAAGAGAGGTCGCCGAATTCGCACGACGCTTGGAGAACAGCCCAAGTACAACACCGACGGCAAAGGTCGCATCTGCCATCAAATGTCTCCATCAGATCGAGAAGATTGCCGCGTATTGGCGAATTGCCGTGTCACTTGTCGACACCGTTCGCACTCATGCATCTTTGTTTCAGAGGCAGATAGAGCTGGCGTTCCTGACTCCATATCAGAGCGTACCGACTGCGATAGGGTATGAGACATGGGCAACCAGCTGCCACGTACACGCAGAAGTCCAACTGGCCGTGCACTACGACGTCGTCTTTCAATCCTCGCTAATACGAAACGCGAAGCACGAGTTTCCCCGCCCCCGGGTGATCGGGACATCGAAGTGGCTCTGCTATCTCTGCTATCTCTTCCTCCGCTGCCACGCGTGCTTTGTGCCAGCCAACACTCATGGCCGACTATACGATCAGTGGACAGTGCCTGATTTGACTGAGTTTGATGACGCAGTCTGCGCCCGATATCGCGACATACTGCGCAGTATGGACGATGAGATTATCAAAGAGACAGGCAACGTTGGCCCAGTGGAAGCAGGTGCAGACCTTATAAGGTGGCGCGCTGAGCCAATGACAAGCCGACAGAATCTTCTGAGCGCGGACTGCAAGATGTAACCGCGAAGATGGACGCTTCTTGAAGGCAATGAATCCACACCGACATCATGGTTTGGAAACATCGCGTTGGTGGCAGAGGATTGAATGGCTGTACCTGGAGGCTGGCTCCGTCGACTGGAACCAGCACTTGTCTACGGACACTCAGCGATGAAGCAAAGACTCTGCAGCATGTGCTGTATTGCAATCGTTCTTTTGCACCAGGCACGACGGGCACAAGACGTCGCGCGACTTCCTCATCGGGTAAGCGTGCGTTCACAGCAGGCAAGCACGCAATGTAAATATCGACGTCATCGGTCTCACCAACACCACCCCATCCCCGACATACAGCAAACCTCAGGCCCAGATATCCTACGAACAGTTCCCATTTCGAAGCCACAATGCCTGCCATCCTGATCGTCGGCGCCACTCGGGGCCTTGGCGCAAGCTTGGTCAAGCTGTACGCATCAGACTCGAACAACTACGTGTATGCTACAGCGAGGTCATCCGACCCTCCCGCAAACAGTGTGTGCAGTCATTCCAAAGTAGATCATTCGTGTGCTGATCCCTCAAAAGGCAAGAACGTCGCGTATATCTCCGGTATCGACATTGCGTCGCCTGATGCTGGCAGCAAGATTGTTCGCTTTTTCAACACCAAAGGAATCTCTAGTTTGAACACTGTGATCATAACTGCTGGCTACTTCGCGACAGAGAGCCTTGAACAGCCCTCGTTCGAAGCGCAGGAACGCATGTACCGGACTTGCGCAATCGGTCCCACCATCCTTGTCACCACTCTAGCAAACGGGACTAAGGACCTCCTGGGCAAGGACTCAAAGGTAGTCTTTGTATCGTCAGAAAGCGGGAGCATAGCCCTCAGGCACGATAAAGAAGGCGGCGGCAACTACGGACACCATGCCAGCAAGACGGCGTTGAACATGTCCGCCAAGCTGCTAAGCCTGGACTTGAAGGACCGAGGCGTGGCGATTGCAACAGTACACCCAGGTTTCATGCGTACAGAAATGACCAAGGGAGTCGGATTCGACAAGTTCTGGGACGAAGGCGGTGCTGTGATGCCTGATGTTGCGGCCAAGTCGCTTGCCGAGTGGATCGAGACATTCGACATCAGTAAGACCGGCGAGTACTGGGCGCCACGAGGACCACGGTAAGTGACTTCCGCAGTGATTACTTGTTTTGCGCTGACGTGACCAGCGATATCGGTACGGCTGAACCAGTGCTTGGCCCAGTCGACAAGCTTCCTACGCCCCTGCAACTCCCCTGGTAGTCTGGTTGAAAGCAAAGACAACATGGATTGAGTTGGAATATGAATGATAAGATGCAAAAGAAGTGTTACGGATGATTAGATAACCGACGTCCTGCAGATATACGAGAGTATGCAATGCAGCCTTGGTCCTTGCTTGATACGATCTCCTATATACATGATGTTCAATTTTGCTGGCGGTTCCCTATACTAGTGTATCAGTTAAGATCCGCATTCTGAAGGAGACTTGTCCACGTCATCCAATTTCAATAAGCCAAGCTTGTCGGGTTCTCCTCGACACCATAGCCTTGTAGACCGGACGACCTGGGTTCAACTTGGCCAATTCCTAGCGACCATTGCCGACGCTGAAGGTGGCAATCTCGTACTGTGAGTTTCTTCTATGTGGTAGGTCCGCCTGACACCCGGACTCACAACGCTACCATGCGCAATGGCCTCCATCAACTCGAAGATCCTATACGGAAGTTAGTGGTATAGCCCTAGCATCTTCAGGGTGTATTGCCCACCGCGCCTGTCATGTAGCTGCTGCCTTCGCCCAGTAAGAACAGCACTGGCGCCCTGTACTCCTCAGGCTGACTGATTCTTCCAAGCATATTCTGGTTGGCCCACTCATCCGTCAACCCTCTCACTCTTGCAGCCTCACTTAACGGCGTGTCGATGTGTCCTGGACTCAGCGTATTGACCCTGACCGGTGGATACACTTTCCTCGGCTCAGTGCTCGGATTCGGATTAGTCGCAGTCACCGTGCTCCCAGGAAACGTGTTCTGCGGATGTCCCCACTCGGCGGCCAGCGAGCGAGCGAGCTGATGTACTGCAGCCTTGGAAGCGTTGTAGGCTGATGTGTTGATTCCGCGATTGCTGATATGACCGCTCATACTAGCAATCAGGACGATGCTTCCCGTTACGTTAGCGCTGTGAATTTCGTTAGCTACTGCGCGCGCGATTAGGAAGGTGCCCATGATGTTGACATCCAGGATCTGCCGGAAGATAGATGATGGGTAGCTGCACGCATCGCTCTCTCCCGAGATCGCTGCACAAGACACGAGACCTCGAATTGGCCGTCGAAGCCCCGACCCGATCTGGCTCATGCCAGCTGTGATGGTTGTCTCGTCTTGGACATTAAGTTGTTTGTAGTGTGCTTTTGAGTTTCCAACTTCTGCCGAAGCCAGGACGTCACCTGATCACCGCGTAAGTCAGATATTCAGGCAAAGGGAGAGAACTTACGCCATTTGGCCTCCGGCATTGATGACAATAGATCTAAGAAGACTACATCTCCGCCACTCTCTAGGATGGCCTTGCCCACCACCACACCGACAGCGCCCGCACCTCCAGAGACTAAATTGAGTGATGAGCATCGTCGCGTTGCATTGATGGTGAATAACATACTCAAGATCGTCCGCCCGTCCAATCTAAACAGGTCTCTGGTCGCCAACTGTGTTGTTGCGTGTGTCATTTCGACTGTGAGCTTCAGAGGGAGGTGAGAAAGCAAGAAGTCGCATACAAGCGTTACTGTCTGTGTAAATCAGCTGCGGGGTATGACGTAACGCACATCTGCACCTACGAAGTATTTCAGGCAACAGTGCAAAACGGTACAGCAACTCTCAAATACGAGCGGTAGCAAATGAAGCTGAGTATCGTTTCTAGATTCGCAGATGGATGCAAAGCCCTCAATGCATTGACTATACATATCTGGTATGTAAATTGAGACCGTGCTTTCCTCGCATGTATATTCAACAACTATTCCCAAAACCGGCTCATGCCTCCCCAACGCCGCCATTTAAATCTTACTCGTTGACACGATGTTGCCAGACCTCTTGCTCAGCTCTCGCAGAGTAAGTACTCGCGCCCAAGATGGCTTGCATCTGCTCGACTCCTGTGAACATGATCTGCCTGGCGATGAACCATCTGATGCCTTCAGAGCATGGCGGGCTAGTCAAGCTGCCCTGATATGTGAAAAATTCGTTAAAGTATAGTACGGAATCCATAGCGAGCGCGAGACCTATCTCAATGGACTCCTGTATCTGCATTTCATCGAAGCCAATCATGACAGGAAGCTGCTCGAAGAAGATGCTGTTGAAGTTGCCAGGGTCCAGACGAAAGGCAAGAACGGCGCCCTCTTGGCCTTCGGCGTCGACATGGACAAAGTGCATTTCAGTCTTACTGCGATCACCTCCAACCGAGTGGTCCGCTGGAGCGTGGATGTGCCAACCTTTCAGATAGAGCGTCTCGTTGTCGTAGGTGAAGCTGGGGTGCGATGTCCAGTCTCCGTTGTGGGCCAGTGTAAAAGCGGGTCCGTAGCCCCAGTTGAAGAAGTTACCAGCGATCTTGCCGGTGTAGTTGAAACTCGGAACGTGATTGAGCGAAAGACCGTTGCTGAGGGAGAGAGCAATGGGCGACTGTTGAGTTCCAGTCTGGCAGAGACGGTAGTCAGGGCTCAGTTTGCCCCAGTTGAAGGATGCCTGTGCCATCGTTAGGATGAGTGAATCGGTGAACGGATAAAGAAGATGCCGACCTCGTAAGCCCAGATGTTCTGTGTGATGTTCGCATTTGGGCTTTGGGCGGGATTGGTCTGACGCCCGACGAGATGTGACCGTCTGTTATTTGTGTGTTGTGGGCAGCCAAGAATCGATGGTGCAAGCGCAGCAATGCGAGTTAGTGATGAGAAGAGCATGACTGTGGTGCTGTGTCTTGCAGAATGAACGACAATAAATTTCTCAAGGCGTGCGTGCGAGTTCCTTATAAGGCCCACGAAACGACCAGCGCCTCCTAGAACGATCTACAACAACGCTGCATCCTAACAGAAAAACGCCAAGTGCAAAGTCATACTTGCAGAACAATTGGTGTGAATGCCACCCGCGCCAAGAGCTATGATAGATGTGAGCAGCTGTACAGCAGCCTGGCACGCGTCATGGGTCGTGCTTGGAAGGCGGTGAGCCCCTTAATCAACCCAGCCTGTTGAAGCCCGGCTCTTCCACAGTCAGGGAAAAACTCGTCCGGTTGATGAGGCGATAGGCGGAGTGTTCACCATGATTCTCTCTAGGTATTGCGAGATGGCGGCCTTGGCTTGGAATGTGCAGTAACTTGTTCGGCTCTTGGCGCAGGGAAGTAAGTCTGCACGTTGCACGAAAGCACTGAATATGCACGCACGATATAGATTGCAAATACCCCATTCGGCCGTTCATGGGGAGATGCTGGACAGTTGCATCCCGCGGGCGCGCTTACCGCATATCAGACCTCGCGTCCGCGATCTGCTGGGAAGCTTTTGAGCAGGACGACAAGCAGGACCAGCGAACGTGGCGGCTCACATGATAAGGCGTTCTATGCGGCGGGTGCTGTCCTATCCTTGCACAGGTAAAGGCGAGAGCGTAATATGCAGGCTGGCAGGGTCAACGACACTGCCAAAGTTCTGGAGTCGCGTTGCTTGGCAGTCAGTGAAAGCGCTGGGGCGACGAGCTCGTTTTGAAACAGGCGGTAAATGGTCCTCCTAGCCGTCTTGTCAGTGGCGGCAGCGGTTGATATGCGTAGCAACTCAAATAATCTAGCGTGTGGGACGGGACTGCTTTGAGGGACTGCTTGGCTGTCTCCAACTTGATGCGCGCTTCAGCTCCGTCGTAGACTTTGGATAGATCTACAGCGCGGACATGTTTATGATTGATCGTGACTTGTCGCGAGCCGCGCAGAGCTGGAACGCCATCCAATGAAACGGATCCTGCGGGGACGTTGGAGACAATTGTTGAGATGTTGTCCACGGCCGAAGAGCGCATGAGCCTCACAGTCTGAACTCTCTGCTGCCATCTCGTGGGGAAGGTTTGTGGGGTCGCGCCGAGGTCTTGGTTCTCCAAGTGCAGGGCTGTGTTGCAGAAACCGCGGGGAACTGGCGATTTGGCTGCAATTGTTCAGCGGAACGACGATCTCGAGCTCTTGGCTCCAATGTCAGGCTGTCTTCAACGGCAGGTGTTTGGGGCGAATCAAGGGAGAGGGCCGCGACATCTAAGATGCGCGCAGTTCAAAAGCGGGAACGGAGGTTTACACAAGAACGCGATGCGAATTTGTATTTGGAGAATGGTAGAAGACGGCGATCAGATTTCGAAGGCGCCATTGCTGTGCACCTGCTCGTACTCGAGGTCAGGCTGGAACTCCCAGTACAAGCTCTCCGGATCGCTGCCCATCTTAAAAGTGTATGCTGCAGCCTCGTCGTCGACATACACTTTCACCACGCCATTGGCTGCTGCAGCTTCGACCATGAGCTGTATCTCGCAGGAACGCTCCATGAGCGTGTATAGGTATGCAGCTTCGTCGACTGTGCCTCCCACGGTCAAAAGGCCATGATTTCGCAGAATCATACCCTTTCCCTTGGGACCGAGAGCAGCCGCAAGGCGCTGGCCTTCCTCTTCGCTGAATACGACGCCGCCGAACTCAGTGTACACGGACTGAGCCTCGCCGTAGAAGTAGGTTACGTCTTGGTTGATCATCTCGAGGGGCTTGGCAAAGGTGCTCCAAGCTTTGCCTGCCTTGCCGTGCGTGTGACACGCAGCTGCCACATCAGGTCTCGCCTTGTGCACGGCCGAGTGTATCAAGAAGCCTGCGGCGTTCGCAGGCCGGCTTGTATTTCCTCCAATTGGTTTGCCATCGTAATCGACGAGGATCATATCCGACGGTTCAAGCAGGGCAAAGTGCCTGCCAAGAGGGTTCGTCCAGAAAGCATGGGAGTTTTCAGGATCACGGACGGAAATGTGACCTTCGCAGTCAGGACAGGCTCGGGTTCGTATCAACTCGATGCAAACCTACCGCTCATTCCTTCTGTGAACCCTTTGCGAGCGAAGACCCTGAATGCGCCAGCCATATGGTTGAGGATCCATGCTCGCTCCTTGTCCTGCGACGAAAATAGAGGGATGCCAGGCAAGCAGACTCCCTGCGAGATAGCTTGCAAGGGTGTCTTCTCCTTTGTTGAGTTCTCGTTTTGTGGTACGAGTTGCTTGGTCGTGAGCGAGGACGTAGATCGAATGGCGACAGCTGAAGGTGCCATTGTGGCTTCGACGTAGGCAGGGAGCTAGCTGTGAGTGAGTTACGAGGTGACTGCGCAAGTGCGGGAGTTGAGGCAGAAATTGATTGAGGCGTTCGAATTCATGTATATCCTCCCAATTTCCTTCATTTCCATTACTAATGGCGGTGGTTAGCAGTGCCAACAGAGCGCGAAAACAGAGCGTATCAATGGTGGAAGGGTGTAGCTGATAGCGATTGTGGGGAAACAGGCGCGCTAGGTACCGTGTCCGTGCGCGCAATGCGCCGAACCCCCCTAATGCGCACCGCCAAACTTGAGGCTATAGAGCCACATACAATAGCTATTATCGCGAGACAATTTGGTGGATTATTCTATAGACCTATTTGACGATATTCTCTCATACAAATTAATTATATAGAGTTGCTGTTCTGCCGCTGCGGGTGATGTGGGTGCGAGGTGCCGCAGGAGGCTCTGCAGCAACAACACCACGTACTGTGGCCACAGTACAACGCTTCTTTGGTATTTTTGCTGCAGGAGCTACTGGAGCTTTGCGCTTGTCTCTTTGGGGCAGTTGTACAGCCTTTTCAGCGTCGCGAGCTTGTTTATCACGCTCTCTTTGAGTCTTGCGTTCGGCTGCTTCCTCGGCCTTCTCAGCTCTAACTTGCTCACGCTCCTCCTTCTCCCTTGCCCGCTGTTCACGCCTCCCCTGAGCAATCTTCTCATTGTACAGCTTGTTAACGTGCCTGAGCTTCGACATCTTTGCTTTTTTAAGTTCTTCTGCCTTCTGGTTCCGTTGTTTAGTCCTCTCATCAGAGCGCGCTTTCTCTACTCTACTAGGAGAGTAAAACTCAGCTCCGCCGTGATAGTCCTTGCGAGGCTGGAACTGAAGAGCTTTTCTCTTGTTCTTGTGCTTCTTCTGATTGAGAACCTCTTTGAGGTCTGCTATCTCATGGTAGAGGAGCTGATTCTGAACTGAGATGTGGTGGAGCGAGCGGCTGATCTTCCTCAGCTCCTTACTGCTCTCATTCCTGGCAACCTTCCGCAGCAGAGTCTCCATTTTAAGCCAATCCTTGTTGTAGGAATCATCGTTGTGGCGATCAGCGTCCATATCCGTCGAGTATTGAGAGATGAGATGGATAGAGTACTTGTTGATGAAGCGGGTGACCCAGCTCTCGCTCACTGGGTCCTGGGCGACTGCTGACGCGAAATTGGCGATCATCTCTCTTGTAGGAGGTATATGACGAGCAGTAAGCTCCTCTATATACTTAACAAGCTCCTCCTCTTGTTGTGGGGTGAGTTTCTGTCGTGCGATTGCCTGCTCTTCCCGCGAACGCGTCTCACCCCTCCATGTGCGCGTCAACGTTGACCGCACAACACCATGCTTTTCTGCTATTTTAGACCACGGGATCTTATCTCTAGATACAAAAGTATTACACTCTGCAAGCGCTTCTTCTAATCCCATTGCGTTGTGTTGTCGTAGAACTGAGATAATAGAGGTGTTTTGGTGGTCTGGCGCATTGCGCGCGAATCCACGCATTGTTGCGCGCACGGACACGGTACCGTGTCCGTGCACCGAACGCCCGGAGTCACCGAACGCCCGCTCCGAGCCTGTACGGCCACCACGAATTTGAGGCTGTAGAGCCACATAAAATAGCTATTAAAGTACCCCACGGGCGAGCCGGTCACCGAGCGAGCCAGTCACTTTTGCCAAGCCCCTAACGTACCCCACGGGCGAAAGAATCAACGGGCGAGAGAATCACTTTTGCCGAGCCCCCACCAAACCACTCTTCCTACACCAATGTCTTTACAACAACACTATTCAGACGCGTTAAAAGAAGCTCAGATACAGCTTGCGCTCCAGGCTCTTAAACAAGACGCGAGTCTCTCCTAGCAACGCGCTGCAGCTATCTATAAAGTCTCTTAAAGTACAATAAGCAACTGACACGCAGGACAACCTTCACGCGCTGATTCTATGGCCAACTTACAGAAGCTGGACAACAATAGGGAGCAGGTGATTGTTTACTATGTACTTGAGCTAGTTGCGCAAGGGTTTCCCCCTCAGCTCTCAGATGTGGCTACTATGGCCAATTCTTTGCGCGCTGAGCGTAACGTAGGTGTAGGGCGAGTCGCCCACTAGGGCAAGTTGCCCACTTTTGCCAAGACCCTCCCCCATCAAACCCTATTATGGCCTAAAACACTACAAACTTGCGCTGCACAAGGCAAAACTGTCAGGTCGGGCATGTGGCGAAGCCACCTCTGACCCATGACAAGGCATGTAGCAAAGCTACCTCTGACCTGTGTCTTGTAACAATATCAGTACTGTTCTGGCGCAGGCTCACCATTAGTGTGAGCCATGTTACCTTTTGGTTTGCTTGTCTTACTGGCTGGAGCTGAGTCTTGACAAAAACAAGCTAGACTGGCGGATGGGTAAGGCAGGGTTGGGTAGGGTATAATTATGTGATTTGTAGATATAGGTGTAACGACGCAGGCAAGAAGAGAGGTAACGTACCTCACGGGCGAGTGGCCGGCCCGGGCGAGTGACCGGATTTTGCCAAGACCACACCAAACTTCAACTTCTCTTGCATATTACAGTAAGTTACAGCAAGTTACTGTAACTTACAGTATACAGCACTAATCTACAGTATATTGCGCATCTTTTATGCACGTTCGCGCGTTGTGCCCTGCCTTCGTTGTGCCCTGCCTTACTGCTCCTGCTACAGCGTTGTAAAGACTAAGTGCCTAGTTTAACACGCCTCTTCTTACTTACCTTCTTCCTATTATTACAGGCTTTAAACTCCTTTAGGGTAGTTAAGCGCACTCCTTTACTAACAGTAAGAGTCCCCTCCCTCTAGATCTGCTTCCTCTTGTGTGATTTATGGCGTGTGGCGGCCTCATTAGCAGCTTAAAGCTCTGCAACCTAGTTGCGCACTAAAACTAGTGAATGCACTATTATCTCTGCGCCCTTAGTAAGCTAATTAAGAGCATTAACTATTAAAGTTAGAGAGCTATTGCTATATTATTAAATCCTCTCTTTAATAAGCTTTAATTGCAACCTAAATTCTAGAGTGTTCTGTAGGGTTTAAGAGTGCCACATACTCTTATCTATAGTAGGTAGTAGTAGAGTACATAGGCGCACTTTAAGCTTTAATATTACAGCCTCTAGATTAAAGGGGACTAAGCTAGCACCTCTAAATCCTCCCTAGATATTGCTTCTAGTAATAGAGGCATTAAAAGCTCCTTTAAAGCACAGTAAAAACTTAAGTTTTATGATGCAAGTAATCTTGTTGCGTATTAGCAGCTTAGCTTGGCAACTATAGGCCTTCTTTATTAGGGCAAAACAACCTACATCAAGCGGCTGCAACAGGTGCAATAAGTGTGGAGGCATACACAAGGTAACAATCTTATGTTCTTTATAGTACTAGTAGAACTTAACTAAATTGTGGCTCTTATAGCTGTCTAGAATAAGCAGCTAATAGCTGCTAACAGTGCACTCCTTTGTGTGCTTATTAAAGTGCTTTAGCTAACGTACTCTATCACCGAGCCGGTCATATCACCGAACCGGTCACTTAAAATCCCACCAAAAAACACAGAAACCATACCCCTGCATCTCAATAACTACTTAATGGAATCTTCT